AGTTAGTTTCGTAAACGCGGTTTTTCGCATCACTTAGATGACATTTATTTATTAGCATAACGATTCGCGTTCGATAATTATCGATAACACAACTTTTGATGGGAATATCTTGAACATTGTATAAGCTACGCACATCAAATCTTATGTGTGGATATTGCATAGCCCTAATAGGTACTTAGTGTGTACTAAAAGAAATTATATTCTTCTTTACGGGGGTTAGATCCCTTAACTTATTGCGAAATTTTGTATATACATATATATATATGGGAATCTATTGACATGTCAAACGTATGATCTAAGAACAGGAACTATTTCGCCTTTTGTATGTAGTTTTTAGGGTTAATCGGAGCTACGTACAGGATATCAGCTAGGCAATCAGAACAATCTATTTCCACTTATTTTGGCACATTGCAGGACATTTTTGGTGCTGTGGGGTGCAGTAGAGATTTGAATAGGGATCACCTCATTAATGGGCAGCATTACGGCTCACGCATCACGAGCTCACGCACACACACACAGACACTGGCATTTCAAGTGGGGTGACTGATCCTGGTGCAATACCACCACCTCATCCACCACCAGCAGCACCACCACCAACAAAGCAGCAGCAGCACCACCGCCGCCACGAATACTATCAAAGCATCTCGCGCACAGCTGTTCATAGTCACAAGCGTGAATAAAGCGAAAGAAAATAGAGAAATGCAAGCGAAAATAATAAATACCATAAATTCCAATTGCCAGCAAGGGTAGAAAGGACAAACAACAACAACAACAACAGCAACACACACACGCAACGCATTCCCTTATTAATTCCCAACCTCAACCGCGGCAGCTGTGAGTCGGGCCTGAGCCGAGTTCCGAGTCCCGAGTCCGAGTTCAAGCCTAGTCTTGTCTAATTGGAAATTACAATGAACCGGAAATGTTGCAGCCCGAAACTGAATATGATAAAATGTACACACTGCGCGTGTGTGCGCCCGTGTGTGAGATTATGAACACTAGTCAGAGGGCTCCAGTCGAAAGTGTACGACTAGCAGATACCCTATGCCTAGTGCCGAGCAGCCGTTACAAACATTCTAGAGTGATTTAGTCGAAAGTGAACGACTAACAGATACCCTTAACCCCGAGGTGCCATTACAGACATTCTAGAGCGTTTTAGTCGAAAGTCAACGAATAGCAGATACCCTAAGCCCAGTGCCGAGGTGCCATTACAAATATTCTAGAGCACATATATACCCTCATATGCATACACCAAAGCGAAAGGCTCTACCTTAAAAATGAGTATTATTCCAGTTCTATAGAAAATGGAGCGAGTTATTTAAAAAGTGATATATTCTTAGTCTGTCTAAACTATACGATAATATACATAGCAATTTATGTGTATTTAGCTTAAATAATTCTCAAGCTATGCCGAAAAAAACATGTCGACATTTATTGATATTAGAAAAATTAAAGAAAATACAGCAGACAGACAACTAGATCGACTTAGCTCTTCGCCCTGATCCTGCTGCGTTTCGCCTGTGCTAAACATTTGCACAAAACCATTATGCCCTATTTAGCCTTTATCAAAGCGTACAGGGCATACAAATGGCATAGTCCACCCCTATTGCGAGGCCTATAACACATAGAGCAACCCCGCAAGCCGTGCCGGCTCAGGCAATGCAGCCGTGCATTATTATTAAATAGTTGCCCCGTTTTTATCGGGTTGTTGTTGTGCGCCCTACAACCCCCTACATACACACGTATATACATATACATATGTATATATGAATATACATATATATATATATGCCCGATCTAGCTGCAATATGTGTGTGTACGTACAGTTTGCTTTGAAGCTTTGGCCAGCAGGAAGGGTTTGGGGGCGGTTAAAAAACATGATTTGAAATGAAAATTTCTTTGCTGTGGCGGTTCTTGGAATTTCCCTGATTCTCATATACCATGACGCACGACGCGTCGCAGTTGACGCTGGCATTTTTGGTCGCCTTCCCCTAATTGTGTCTGTATCTGTGTGTGAGCGTGTATCTTTGTGTGTTCGTGTGCGGCACTGACTGTGCCTTGAACTGAGACTGGGACTGCATCCTGTCGCGCTGCCAACCATCCCCTGTAGCAGCAGCAGGAGCAGCCCAAAGGAGCGCACAAAACAAAAAGCCGAAATACCAAAAAAAAAAAAAATTAGTGGAAAAATAAAAGGCATTTCAGTTTCCAGAGCGCGTTTCAATCAAACAGACGCGTTTTCTTATTTCCCTCTGCTGGCGTGTGTCTCGTGAAAGGAAAGTCGGTTAATCGTTTCGTTTGCTTCTTAAATTTCCGCCCGCTGCTCGTTTGCCGCCCGCGCCGCCCCTTGCATCCTCTGAAATTTCCACATTAAAATGCGACAAATATTCAACTTGCTAAGCTCATAAAAAGAAAAAACCAAAAGTTGTAAATACTTGATGCTTTTTACAGTTTCCAATTTGATTTTGTGTGTTTATTTTGTTTGTTTTTGTGCTGTGAATTTTCCAAAATTTATTTGAAAAGCGACTTAGACAACGGCTCCAAGGTGGCGCCGTTCTCCAAACATTTGGATTCCCTCGAGGAATTCAAGGCTCTCACCGGTGAGTCGTCAATGCCTCAAAGCCCGAAATCTGAGTGACCCAGTATATGCCTTTTGTGTTGCCCGCAGCGCTACCTGTGCACCAAGACAGTGATGGGAAGGGAAGGGAAAGGCAGAGAGAGAGGGGCTCAGGTAGGGCCAGACCCTAATCGCTTTTGGTAACTTCTGTGCACTGACAGTATTAGATAATATCACGTTCAATTTCTCTGAGCAGGTCAATTCGAATGTCTGTGTACTCTGATATTTCAATATATCTTAAACTAGAAATTAACATGGATTTGTGAGATATAAGCTATGGGAATGTGGAATGTGTAACGCTTGGAAGGAGACATTTACGACTCGACAAAGTATATATATTCCTAATCTTAACCGGCGAGAGCCGAGTCGATAAAGTCGATTTGCAAACTAGTCTCTCAGTTTCTAAGCTATCGTCATCAATAGATGGCTTATGTCCGTGATTCTGTTTTATGTCTGGATCCAATTACTTCATCCAATAGCTGTCATAGATACAATTGGTCAAAAATGAAGTATTTGTATATCTCTTCCAAGATATATTTACAAAACCTGGCATAAAAGAGTTCTTTTATACTCATCACAAAAGAGACAAATCCTATTAAGAGGCGGACCTCTATAGCATCTAGTTTTATTGATTGAATAATGCAATTGAGTTGCATTTATCTAAATAAAGCACAATTCTCATCGTAGTTATCCAGCGTAAACCATATCCAAATATCTCTATTTGCTTTTTCTTCTTTTACTATAACATAGTTATAAATCTCCTCTCTTATAGCAGAAGTTCTTTGGTAAAAGTTTCGTATAATTTGAGTCATATCCAGTTCTAGTATAAAAGTATAAAAAAACGTGATCTTTTGCTATAGAGTCGGGCATTTGAATCATGTAAATCACTCACTTTAATGACTCAGCCACTTAAAAAACTTATTTATCAGATAAATGGATTGATATATTTGGTGTTATCTAGACCTAAGAAAGGTCTGAAGCATAAAACACTCTCTATATATAGCCTGTAGGCAACGACAAGGATATTCGGGATTTGCTCTGACGTAGTTTAAAGGCTGCTGATAAACAGGCTGAGGGAAGAGCCTTTTCCATTTAAAAAGGAAAACCTATTAAAAAATAACATATATAGCTCAGTTTTACTAATGAAGTTGCTTAAAGTTCCATCTGACAAATAGAAATATACTTCCTGTTCTTAAACTAATGAATGAATCTACATTTATGATTTTTAATAAGTCTAATTAAAAACCTATAATTCCTTAAGATAATAATATCCAGATATCTGCTGAGAATTCCATCTCCCAGATAGACCAAAAGTTCCCATACTATATCCGTTGATATTATTGAACTTTATTATTTTGATGAAAGTTACATATGTACAGAAAACTTTGTGTATATATTTGTTAATAAGCTATAAATCTGATGACAAGTTAAGATTAAATATATACGACATGGCATGGCCCACGGGAGGCGTGGAAAAGTTGCTTAATTCATATATTTCACAATAAAAACGCAATTATATTCGATGCTATACAATATATAAGAAGACTTGAATCGTGAATTATATCTTCACGTCTGGCTATACCCATGAGATAATGTCAAGATAGGCGATTATATCCTCTAACTAAATAGCAGAAAACCCATCTGCCGCATATATTCAGATATCTGACAGTCAGTTGCCACTCTTTAGTTGCTTAATTACTTGATAACCATCATTAAACTTGGCTGTTGACCTGATGAGAGGCAGGACAAACGCTTCAGTCAAGAAGCTGCCACACACACACACACAGACAGACAGACAACATGCCACTTGTGATTAGTGTGTGTGTGTGTGTGTTTGTGTGTGTGTTATGTATTTAGCCAAGTGATTATGCACTTGTGCTCCGACATGGCACACATGATTATTATCAATTTGGAGTAGACGCGTTGATTGTCTCGTTGTCTGACGCGCCGCGCCTTTCTCTCTCTCTCTCTCGCTCTCCAGTGCGTGCCTCCTCTTCCCCCTTCCCGTCTCAGGCAGCAGCTGCTTCCCTCTGGCGATTGGCACCATTGTTAAACATATCAAATGAAAAACGTACTTAAGTGCGTGGCTGAAGCGCTTTTCATCTCGCACACAGCACGCAAATTCATAATGCATATCAACGCCCGGACACCCGGTCGTGTTTGTTGGACAGGTTGGCCTAGAACGTGACTGGCCGAATGATTTGGGGTGGTAGGCGGCGGGGATTTGTGGATTTTACCGACTATGACACAGATTTATGAAGCTTAAACCGCACTTAAAATGTGTGACAGATACCACACACACCCACACCCACACACACACACACACACACACACACATACACCACAATTTCGTTTCTAAATTGTTTTTTCTCTGTTATTTGCTTTGCAGTCGGACCCGGCACCATACCATCCCCGTGGCCACCAGTGAATGCCGGTCCTCCTGGTCCCCTGGGGTCGGCAGACACAAATGGCAGCATGGTGGACAGTAAAAACTTGGATGTTGGCGATATGAGCGATGTAAGTACCACAAATTATAATACAAACAAAATCTACAGGTGGATATGTTCCATAAATTAATGATCTGCATAGTTCATGTTGTCTAGGAATGTTGACTCAATGAGTCATTGGGAAGTTGAACTCTTTTGAATCAACGTGTTCTATATGTTAACTCTTTTATTTCTATCATTCTTTGAATTATAAACCGCTTGAAAACTTCGAAGCTCCTTTTGCGTTTGCCAAGCAGTTATCAGAAAAATTAGAGATAATTTCACAATTGTAACCCCCCTTAAAACTAGACTTAGATATGACTGTAAGGGCTAGCAAGGACTTCCTTATTCCTTGAGGTCAAAGCAAACGCAAATGTTCGCATTCCATTTGACTGTGGCTCATCCAGCAAATACGTAAGCAATTGCCGACAGCAGTTGTCACAAAGCAATCAAATTATTGTTGCTTCCGATGAATAATCGATGAAGAAAATGAATCGATATTATTGACTGGACAATTATTGCAAAGTGCAGCTGCTACATATAACTACATACCCACACTTATATATGTATATAAAAATATTTATTTATTTTTCATTGAGCGAGTATTGACACAATTCGGAATTGATTTCAGGACGAAAAAGATTTATCATCCGCCGATGCCGAGGGTGTCTGGAGTCCGGACATTGAGCAAAGCTTTCAAGAGGCACTGTCAATATATCCACCATGTGGACGGCGAAAGATTATATTATCCGATGAGGGTAAAATGTATGGTAAGCGAACTATTTCAATTTCAATTTCAATTTCAATAGTATTGCAAATATATACCTCTATCCATATAGGGCGAGGTGTATTTGTGGGCGTATATAAAATTTATATGAATACTTGAGCGCGCTACTTTTGGTTGACTATGAATTTCTCGGCAAGGTGCACACACACTCTTCTACTCTTTAACTTCCTCTCTCTCTCTTTCTCTCTCTCTCTTTTTCTGCCTCTCTCTATTTGTGCGTGTGTGTCCCCTTCGTTTGCTTGGGTAAAAACAGAAAACAAACAGGAATTTTGCGGTTGCCGCTGCTTGCTTCTATTGTTTTTGTTTGTGTGCTATACCCTATAACAACTGTCAGGAAAATCTGCTTGGATTCTCTCAAAAAGATAATAAAAATGTAGTTAACTTTTTTTTTGATAACACTTTGATAATTATCGAATCATGCATACACTGTTTAGGCATTTAAAATGTTCTGGAAATATGCATAATTTTAAATTCATCGTTTCGATTTGCATGTTTCGCACGTTTCGATTATAGCGATAGTTGAAACATGAGCGCAGATTATCGATAAAAGCTTACATTTTGACATCTACAAAAATCGATTACTATAGATAGTTTTGAAATCGTTTTTTCTAGCGCCTAATCGCGGGTGTTTCGATTATGCCAATCAAATCTATCAATCAATCAATCGGCTATAATCGACTTAGCCATATTTTATGGGCATACCCCTAATACACTAGTTTATAATTAATATTTATAACTAAACTAAGCTAAGCCCCGATTAAATCATAAATCAGGAATGCTCACAAAATATAAATATTTACAGAGCATTTGCTAGTCGCATGCTTCTAAAGCTGGGCGCATTCTTGCTTCTTTTTTTTCGGTTTTCTTTTTTGGCGTATGTTTGCGGCGGCCCGTGTAAAGAAAACATAAATTCCGTACTTTGAACCTTGAGCTGAAAGTTGTGTCAAAGCGCTTTGTGCGCCCAGGCTGCTTTCAGTGGGTGGCTTTGGGTGGCATTTGGGTTGCGCTGTTGGCCCCTCGGTTGGGCTTGGGATATGGCAACAGGCGATGGCAGCGGCGTTCAAAGTTTGACACCGTGCCGCAAAACGTTGTCGAGTCGGGCTAAATGTGCTGACAACTAAAATTGTAAACGTGAACTGTGCTGGTGTGTATGTACGTTGTGTGTGTGTGTGTGTGTGTGAGGGGGTGTGTGTAAGGGTGTTGTTGTATTTACAATAAAAGCTAAAAGGACATACAAAGCCGGCGGCGTGTTGTCTTCGTCTGCTGCTGCTGCTGTTGTTGGCCGCACCCAAATGGCGGCTCAATGGAATTACGACAGCAAATTGTGAGAATGCTGCGCCCTCTCCATGCCCCTCCAGCGCTGCCCGCCTCTGACCCCCACATACACACAGGCGATAGGCACGGCCTGGTAATGCTTTGCTGCTGCTAGTCGCATCCTGTGTGTGTTTTATTTGAGACGTCTACACGCATAAACAACAAGTTTTGTAATTTATGTCCCAGAGGATATTGTTTTCATTTTATGCTCGGACTCGCCCAGTTCTGCCCACAGTTGCTTCCGCACCGTCCGTCCCGCCCATTCGTCCTTTGTCTCTGCTGGCGCTTGTTGCATGGAAGCACACTTTGTTTGCTTTTCGGCAACGGCTCAAGTTATGCCCCGTGTGTCCGTGCCCGTGCCCGTGTCCGTGTCCGTGTCCGTGTCCATTGCTTGCCATTGTTTTTGTATTTGAGCAAGTAATTAATTTTCACTTTTCACTTTTTGGCTTACCTAGCCCCGAGCACGAGCTGACACCTTCATTGCAGCGCCCCGACACAAGGGGACTCGTTTTGTGTTTGGCTATTCAAAGCCACCCCCCCCCCCCCCTCGCTCCATAGTCTAGTGATTTGTTGAATTGTTCGTAGTGTTAGCATATACCTTTGTTGGCAGTTAGTTATCCTTCACACGAGTTAGATCCTGCAATATCCAACCAGGTAAGAATTCATTTAAAAAGGGATCGTTAGCAAGAACGTTTTTTTACAATCTTCTTCCATTTATTTTCCATACTTGCAAGTGAATACATAGAAAATATAATAAAAAGTAAACAATTTGAATGCCAATCATAGTTTTAATAGGTAGAGTTAGAGCTAGGATTGTTTTCCATATTTATTGTCATCTTTTCAGCGCAAGCTATTCAAATTTCAAATGAGCACTGTTTTAAAATCGCATTTGAACCAGTGACCTTTCACTTGCTAGTCCGACGCGCACACATCTAAGCCCCACAGCTCTATCATCTGCGTTGCTGTTGATGTTTTTTTTCACAAAAAACCATGACGCCTCGTTTTTCCCAACCCCTGCTCAATTTGGCCCAAAAGGTAGCTTCCGTATAAAATGTTAAGCTTCTTAAAATCGTTCATCTACAACGATAGATCCAGTTACTTGTTTCGAGTAGTTGAATGCTAACCAGTTCAACAATAATCCTCTATTTGTCCGCATTAGCTGATATTACTGCAATTGATTTGTTTCTCTCTCTCCCGCTCTTCCTCTCTCTGTCTCTCTCTCTCTCTTAACCAGCTTGCTAAATATGCGAAACATTGTGACAAGAGGCGGCTAAACTTTTATTTATTGCCAACACGTGGCTTATGCAGCCACTCTGAAAATTCCTTGACGTTCGCCAGCTGCACGAGTTGCTGCCGCTGCCGGCAAAGCGAATAACAAGAAAAACGCGTTGTTGTTGGGAAATTGGAAAAATGCTTTTGGTTACGGGCTAAACACGAGACAACTACTGCACTACGGCCACTAAATATCGGCAAAGCTTGACGTGCCTCCCAAAATCAACGGGTTCATAGAGAGTGGCGCGGGGCGGGCGGGGCGGCGCGGGGGCTGAGCTTTGCACTGGTTGCGGTCGACGTCGCCGTCCCCGCTGCGTTATGTGTGAAAATATAACCATTGTTTGGTTGTTAATTTTCCAAATATTTGCATAGTCACTGAGCATGCAACACACACATACACACACATACAGCCACACCCACTGGGGGGCTGGTTATGACACATGACAAGCGGATGGACAGCTGCATGCAGCAAGCGGCGCGCAGCGCTTGGTTCTAGGGGGCAACTGCGTGTTGGGCTGGGCTTGGTGCCTGCCTCCTGTGAAATTTGTGGCCGAAAACTTTATGCCTGCCGCGCTGCCCCCAGCTGCTGCCACAAATATGCGGCTCCACTAGCGGCGACTTAGCCGGCTTATCACATCAACACACACTCACACACACTCACACAACATGTGTGTGTGCACATTCGCGCTATGGATGCACCTCCCCGCTTAGCTTCGGCCACTGATTTTATATGGTAGCCAAAATGGCTCCGCAGGATTCAATGTTGCCCCAGCCATGTGTATGTGCCTCTTGTTATGTAAACAGTTTTTTTGTTGGGAAAAACTCACCTGAAGGGCCTTTAATAAACATGCATGCAGCAACTATTTCAAAGCTCTTACAAGCAGTTTGCCAATTTAGCCATTTCTAGCTATATTCGGCTTTTATCAAGTCAAAAATTCAAATTTGAAATGGTTTAGCAGTTTTTTCGTTATCAGTAAAGACAAAGAACCCTGTTTTTGTGCTCATAGAGCTAATTCAGCTGTTTTCAGCTATTTTTAACAGTGGATTCACCTAATTAAAGCTAAATTTAAAGCAGCACCTTAGAAACCGTTAGCAAAGTGTTGAGCAACGTGCCTTTGGCTTCAGCCTTTAACACAGTGCTGCAAAACAGTGCCAATATTTATTTTTAAATAATGTTAATAGCTACATTTGAACCAGTTTTGGAGCTGCCTTTGTGAACCAGTTTTGCAACCGCAACCTTATTTAAGCCCATAAAAAATCGTGTATGTACACTCATCATTTTGTCAAAATTTATTCGATTTTCGCATGAAATACTTATCAAGGTTAGCTTTTTCTGTTTTTAATATCAATTTGACATTATCATATTATTCATTTGAAAGATAATCGACATTTGTTGAAAATTAGTCAACATTTTTGGGATTTTTCAAATTTTTTTATTTATTTAACTGCTCAAATTAACATTTTACTTGCTGGATTATTTGTCTTGTAAAGTTCTCAACGTGCATCCCGAGAATTCCAATTGTCACAGCTGAACCGATTTTCATGCGAAATTTCGTTTTTATTTTACGTTTTATGCTCTTAATTAAATTAATTTAATATAATTTTATGTCTGTGCTATTAACCTTTATGAATTCAACTGCAAACAATGAAACAAGTTTAAAATATCCAAAAACAAAATATTTCTCGGCGAGACTTTTTTACAAAGAAAATGCAATTAATTAACACCAGAATTGCGTCTATTACTGTCATTCTCGAACAGACTGCATACATAGTTATATATTTGTGTGTTTTTATGTATGCTTAAAGCAGCGCCACTTCAATTGACTGATTAACCTTTGTCACATTTAAATATGAGTACAAATAAAATCTTGTGTGTTTGTACTATGTGTCTGGCATTCAAAAAAATCTAGGGATGGAAACGTGCCAAAACGAAACATATAAGTAAAATGTCTGTTGACATCAAAATATTAGTTAATCCATCCTAGATACATATGTATATTCAAAATCAAATAAACATATTAATTTCTTCTATTTGATATTTAAGTATTCATCTATTGAGTACAAAGTTTAAAGTCCTAACCAGGGCTACAAACTCAAAGAATCAAATTATTGTTGATTCGTTTAAGGGTTCGAATCAACTTCTTGCCTTCGGCTCCCTCATTCACATTCTTGAACCCAGCTCATGATTTGAACACATATTTTCAAAATTTGTTTGATAAATCATCTATTTAGCAAGATATTTAAATTCTTAACCAGGGCTGCAAACTCAAAGAATCAAATTCTCAGTGGTTTGTATTTTGTTCTATATCTATATAGGATATTTGAGGGTACCATTTTTACATGAATTTGGACTAAAAATAATGTTGCCAGATTCAGACGCAAATTAATTTTGTATAAATGTATGTATGAATATATGTATGAATGTATGCAGGTGTATATATATGCATGCATGTATGAATGAATGAATGTGTGTATGTATCTATGTATGTGTGCGTGTGTGTATGTATGTATGTATGTGCGTATATATGTATGTATGTATGTATGTATGTATGCCAGTAAATTATCTTCTATAGCAATGGCAGACCAATTTGTCTTGTTGCGCGGCAAATTTAAACTTATTTATTAAAGCTGCCCTCCTCCTCGATTCTCAAAAATTTAAGTAAGGCTTGCAGGCTTTCCCTATGAATTAGTCGCAGGCGGCTTCAACGCTGGAAGCTGAGGAGCCGGAGGAGGAGCACCAGGGGGCGGAGCGGCAGGCGTATGTTTGTGGGTATGTAGGTATGTAGGTATGTACAAAGGTATGTATGTATGTACAAAGGTATGTATGTATGTACATAGGTATGTATGTATGTACATAGGTATGTATGTATGTACATAGGTATGTATGTATGTATGTATGTATTTATGTATGTATGTATGTATGTATGTATGTATGTATGTATGTATGTATGTATGTATGTATGTATGTATGTATGTATGTATGTATGCATGCATGTATGTATGAATGTATTCATGCATTCATGTATGTATTTATGAATGCATGTATGTATAAATGTATTCATGCATTCATGTATGTATTTATAAATGCATTTATGTATAAATGTATTCATGCATGTATGTATGCATACACGTATGCATGTATGTATTAATACATGTATGCATGTATTGATACATGTTTGCATGCATTTCTGCATGTATGCATGCATCAATGCATGTATGCATGCATGCATGTGTGCGTGTATGTATATATGTACATATGTGTGTGTATGTATGTATGTTTGTTTGCGTGTATATATGTATGTGTGTCTATGTATCTATTTTTACAAATATCTTTGAACATGAGTTTTAAGCCGATCGGACGGGAAACAAAAAACTTTCAATCAACCGTTTTCCGCCAATTTACCACACATGCGGGTGGAATTTCCCGAAGCCCCGGCTTAACGTGCATATTCACCACATAAGGTGACTACAGTGAAAATTTCAACTTTCTAGCTCTTACGGTATAGGCTGTGCGTTGATCATCAATCAGTCAATCGGTCAAGTAAACAATAACATAGTACTGAATCTACTATATTTTCTTCTTAAATATGTTGTACAGATTTATGCAATTCGGTTACAAAACAAATTGTAATTCCAGCCACGAGCCAGTTCGATTCAAAGTCAGTTTGCAGCCTTGATCTTAACACGAGCAGCTCGTGCTTGCTCCATTTACGTGTTGAAGTCCTAACATTCAAGATTTTCACAATTCACTTTTGAATACCATGAAAAGTATTTGAGAAAAGTTGCGATCCTCCAATTAGCAGCACCTGTCGTCATCAATGAGTATCAATTAAATGATGTGAACTGCAATAGACCTCGGGGTCAACATTTTCGTAGCTAGATAGCAACAATTCAATTGGCATATGTCGAATGATTCGGACGGGCGTAGCGTGTACACAATTCAGGCCACAGTACTGTGCTCTCTGTTTTTGATTGATTTAAATGCATTAAATAAATTGGCGATTAAAATGACAAACAGATACGTGATAATTCATTGATAGTTTGAACTGCAAGCGTTTGGAATTGAGTCAAAAGCTTATGAATCATTAGGAAACACTAAGCGTGATTCTGTTCTATTAGTCATGCGAGCTGAACAAACAGTTACTCTATAATTAAAATAACGCACTACATACAGTACTTGCACGCGCGCACACACACACACACACACACACACACACACACATCTTTGCATATTTGTGTCGCACACAAAGTTTGGCCATAAATTCCATTTGAATTCCAGCTCTTCCTTTTTTGGGCCATGGCCCATCGATTTGCAAAGATTTAAAGCGTCAAGAAATTGAAATGCTTGGCTCTTCCTATTCATATTAAGTATGTATATACGTTTTGTTCGCGCTTGTGTGTGTGTGTGTGTGTGTGTGAGAGAGAATCTCTCTGTGTGTGTATGGTGTGGGGGTAAGAAATTGGGCGCTCAGGACCTTACTTGGCATCTATTCCGTGATAGGGTTGCATAACAATTTTCCATGCAGAACCAGTCATGTGAACTGTGAACTACTGAACTAGTTACGTGAATTTAATGCACAAATAATAAAGTTTTAGGGCTCGCTCCATTTTTCAATGTGATTAAATTTCTGCTATGAGTGTGCACACTTATGAACTGGTTCCTTAAAGCAGTTCACATTTACACGCACTGCCCGAAGGTTGCCTGAAAGAATATGTTTTTATAGTCTGTTATTTCTTAAGATTGATTCAAACATCTGAAGATTCTTTGCACACTTTTGCGCATTTGTGAACTGGTTCAAGAAACATCTAAGGACTCTTTGCAATATTTGTGAACTGGTTCATGCACTAGCTTGATTCGAAAATCTGCGTCGAAGGAAACAGCTGAAATTTTCATTGCGCGTGAACTAATTCATGAATTATTTAGATGTGCCCATCGACTTTGGTTCTACAATTGTATCACTGACTCCGTTGTGCTCCGTACAGCTTCATTGAATTCCTCCCTGGCTGAGCTGGCCCAAAGGCGTTCACAAAGCATTAAGTGGGTTGTGGGTGGGTCGACTGTGTCTTTGTCTCTGTGTGCCTGTCTGTGTGCCTGTCTGTGTATGTGTGTGTGTTGGTGTTGTGTCTGTTCTTTGCGCCAGTAATTCTTAACCGTACCTACAGCGCAGCGATACGAACCACACCACCAACCCCCACCATCACCAGCCACCCGGCAGCAGCAGCCCGGACTTTGTGCGCCGGATCCGGCAATATGCGTGTGCTTGGTTGGGCTATCTGCGACGGGGTTTGAGTCGCTGAAAATAATTTTATTCGGTTAGAACTGAAACTATGCCAAGAATGTAATTAGTGAACGCATAAGCGTGTGTACAATAAAAGCTGGATCGCTGTCGGGGCGCAGCAGCAGCAGAATGGGGCTCTGTCTCTCACTCTGCCGCCTTGCTGATGCCAAGCATAAGCTAAAGGATGACCCGCCCACACCCATTCAGTCGCCTGCTGCGTGCAATCCCCACCCCCCCCTCTCTCCCTTCCCCCTCTCATTCCATAGCTAGCCTGGCAGTGGGGCAATGGCAAGGCAACAGGACACTGACGTCAGTCGAAGCACATTTAGCCAGCACGTGAAAATGTCGTCGGGCTTTCATTGAAATTCGCGCACAGCTGAAAGCAGCATTTGATTCATCCCATAGGGGTTCGGTAGCGCATCTCCAGCTGTGCTGTCGTAGATGCTCAAAATAATAACCCCTACATACAGAGTTGCTCATCAAGCACCTTATTTGCGACCATAATTTGTTGGCTTTTAAAGAATGATTTCTGTTTAGAATTTCAGTTTGTTTAATCCTTGAAATTTAACTTAATTGGAATCTACAAAATGGCTGCTTATGGAACTGCACAGTCTGTGAATGCTTTAATTTGTTAAATATCCCAAATAAGTTTAATTACCGCTCTGGAATTTTCCAGAGCAATTTCCCTGAATTTCGTACAAATGTTGAAATCATTTAAATAATTTGTTGCGATCTGTGTTTAGTAAAGATATTTATCTATTTCTTCTATATATATTCTTGATCAGCACTAACAGCCGAGTCGATCTAGCCATGTCCGTCTGTCTGTCCGTCTGTCCGTCCGTCCGTATGTATGAACGCAAGTATCTCAGAACCTATAAGAGCTAGAGACTTGAAATTTTAGATGTAGGTCCTCCTAGTGCCCGCGCAGATCGTTTGTTTCCGATATTCGATAACTTGTCCCGTTTCCAAGTAATCGATAAAAATCGATATCGAAATTATGTTCTTTGAGCAATTTCGGTAAATAATAAGAGCTAAAATCACCAAACTTGACATGTAGCTTCTTCATCCTGTTGGAAGAAGTGGGCTCAGTGTATCCCCTAGTCGGGAGTTCCCGACTAGAACCTCTTACTTGTGATATATTCTCGAGCAGATTCGATCTAGCACTTACCAACTTTCCGTACTTCTGTGTGCACGCGTCGAGCTCGGGAACTATAAAAGAGAGAGCCGTGCGCTTTGTAACGGCAGTTCGGCATCAAGTTCAGGGTATCTACAATTGGGGCACTACCTACTGGAGCTTTCTATATATGTTTTTACACAACTGTGGCATCTTTCGAGTCTGCAGTCAAGCGTAACTTGTGCGGGCAGCGGGAGGCTGGAGGCAACGCTTTAATGGTTAAACTGATGCCAGGAATGCACAGCCGCAGATACAATATTTATGCATAGGTATCATATGAGAATAGTAATTTTTTGCACTTGTGAAGTAATAACCGAAATATCTTTTGTGTAAACATAGGATTGCACCATTTATTTAATTGTGGTTTTTTATTGGGTATATTTTTTGATTATACTTATTTTTCATTACAGGGCGCAACGAGCTAATCGCGCGTTATATTAAATTGCGCACGGGCAAGACGAGAACCCGTAAACAAGTCAGCTCCCATATCCAAGTGCTCGCCAGACGGAAACTCCGTGAAATTCAAGCCAAAATCAAAGTCGTAAGTGTGCTAAACAAATATATATACATATATTGATATTTGCATATAGTATGTATATGAAGACCAACAAGAATATCAAGAGGCGCAACAATGTTTTTGCGCTATGGCTCAAATATGGAGAGCAAATATAGAAAAAACAGTTGCCATCCGTTTATTGTCCACATGCTTTACATAACTACATGTTGTTTATTTAAGTTCAAGTAAAGTTCAATTCACACATAAATATTTAAACAAATATAATTCAATTGCAATGAATTTATAGCTGATATATACTTAGTATCTATACATTTGTTGTGCCGTGAATTTAATTTTACTGTTAAATAATCAGTTAAAAATTGCAAAAAAAAAAAAAGAAAAATAATCAAAACAATTAAAACTTACGACGAGCATGAAAAGCAAGGAAGAGTTTCTCAGTTGCAAGTAGAGCCCATTGCCAACAGACAGATTCAACAAACAGAATCAGAATCAGTTTAAGAATTGATCAGTTCATTTGTATTAGAGTATTATCTCACACACACACACGCACACCTACACACACGCACACCAGCAGAGGCCGCTTGTGTGCTTGTATTGGTGCCAAACGGCGTCTGGCAGTAAAAAGCAAGAGAGTTTGTGGCTTTCATGTTATCCATATGTGAGTTTCCCTTAGCTGTGTGGCGTCTGCAGCTCGACTTTTTGATTTGATTATGCTTGAGTGTGTCGTCACATCTACACACGACACAGACACACACACACATACACACACACATATACACACACACATATACACACACACATATACACAGACACATACAGACACTCAGCTACGAGACCAAATTGAAACTCTGTTTTCCAGGAACCAAATGGTGTATCCTTGCATTTACTCAATGAGAAAGAGCAAACCCTGCAGGCCATGAGCTCAATGACCAGTTCACAAATTGTCTCCGCACAGGCGGCCAATAATCTTGCCCTGGCCGCCTCGGCGCTGACGGCGGGCGTACACCATTCGAAGCATCTGCCTCAACCTGCCCACCATCAGCACCCACACCACCACCACCACCACCACCACCATCATCCGCACCACCACCATCATCAGGTGGGTGTGGCCGCTGCCGCCGCCGCTGCAGCTGCGGCCGCTGCTGCTGCTGCCGCTGTTGTACAGTCGCCGGCAGCCGCCGCTGGTGCGACAAACAATTCCGTTGCGGTGCCCTCCACGTCGTCGTCGTCGCTGTCGTTGTCGTTGTCGCCACGACACCACCATGCCCACCATTCCCATCACAATTTGACGCACCACACGCATAGCCATATGCATCCACATCATCATCACCATGCGGCGGCCGTTGCAGCAGTTTACCACCTACAGCAGCAGCAGCAGCAGCAACAGCAGCATCAGCATCAACAACAACAACAACAACACCAGCAGCAGCAACAGCAGCAACAACAACACCAGCAGCAACAGCAGCAGCAACCAAGTGGGGCAACAACAGGTGCAGTGTCACCATCTGTGGCTGATGGGGCTGACGCTCATGTGCTGGCACAGCCGCCGCCGCCACCGCCGCCATTGCACCATCCGCCGTTGTATCCGGGCGTAAGCAACCGTTCAAGTTATCCAAGCTAAGCAAACGAACCACTCGAAACGCCAAATGCCACTTCACATCGGTGTACAATCCAAAAACAACAACAACAAAAACAACACCAACAACTAACTGCCACAGCACCAGCTCTTAGCTCGCTCAGAATCACAAGACTCCACAACACGAACTCAAATTCACTTTACATCTACATCGATAACCCCCCACCACCCCAACACCCCAACACACACACATGCACACGCACAGCAACTGCACACGAATCACGATTCTCACTCATTAGTTATAACAACAACTCATTAGCTGATCGAATTGCAATTCTGTATTTTTGCTCTGATTGCGCTCGGGCGATCATGCGTGTTGTTATCGTATATACTCGTAATTGTTTGTGTACAATCGCTCTCTCTCTCTCTCTCTCTCCCCCCATCTGTTTCTCTCTCTCTCTCTCTCTGTTTCTGATTGTCGTGCGTTCTGTCTCTTCCCTAAGCGATTTCATTCGAGTTAAATGTCGTCATAGCCCACTGTCATTTCACTCTCTAATATCAACGATCTCTTCTCTCTCCCGCTCTCTCTCTTTCACTTTCGCTCCATTCTCTTCACCCTAGCTCTCTGTGGTGCTTTATGCTCGTTTGCCTTACTCATTATGCGTCAGCTAACATTTATCTTATTCGCCAAATGTTACTCACCACCACTCGTTACTCGCTACTCGTTACTTGCCACTCGTCACTCGCTACTCTTTATTCGTGCTCGTGTATCTTGAGGCCCAAACCCACCTGCTCAACGCTCGCTTGCTCATTGAAATCGACTCCTTGCTTTTTTTACATGCCAACAACAACAACAACAATTATTAATATATATTTACATGTATATACCGATCTCCATAAATATATATGTTTTATTTAACAAAAATTCTCGTTAGCTGTTTATAACTAGTATTAGTATTTGTATTCGTATGTAATAATTGTTTAGTAAGCTCGCCGAGTCAAATCAACGAAACAATCAATCAATCAATCGCTCAATCATTAATGCGTACTCTCATCAGCTGTGTAACCATGTCAAATTAAAAGAAATCGTGCTTAGCTTAGTGTTGTAAAACGTTGTTTATCATTCACAATTTGTATTAACTGTTTTTTCTCTCTCGCTCTCGCCCTCTCTCTCTCTCTCTCTCTATCCTGCTCGCACTCTTGCTTGACGGATGTTTTTAGCAATTTTGGCAACCCGGTCTGCAGCCGAGCACATCACAAGAGTAAGTTGGCATCGCCCGCAAATGAAACAGAAAAACACAACGCATTTGCATTGACCAATAGTTTTTATGATTACAGCATCAAGCCGTTCGCCCAGCCGCCCTATACGCCCGGCAAGCCCTCGACGGCGGTCTCCGGCGAAATAGAGGCTGGTATTCCGCCCGCACAATTGCCATGGGAGGGGCGCGCGATCGCCACGCAGAAATTCCGCTTGCTCGAGTTTACGGCCTTCATGGAAATCCAAAGAGATGAGATCGTAAGTGCTGGCATTTATCATTCCTGACAATCACTGTCAACATTATATCTTCTTCTTCTTCTTCTCCTGTCTTACAGTATCACCGACATCTATTCGTGCAGCTGGGCGGCAAGCCATCCTTCTCCGATCCGCTCCTCGAGGTGAGTTTCGTGCTACACGAGCTTCTGATATAGTAATTGGCAAATGGTTATCATATTTTATTTATGACAGACTGTTGACATCCGGCAAATATTTGACAAATTTCCGGAGAAATCCGGCGGTCTCAAAGAGCTTTACGAGCAGGGTCCGCAGAATGCGTTCTACCTGGTTAAATGTTGGGCGGATCTCAACACGGACGTGACGACGGGCAGTGAAACGGGCGATTTCTATGGCGTTACAAGCCAGTAAGTAAACGCGCTCTCTCTCTCTCTCTCTCTCTCTGTCTCCCTCTCTCTTCCTCTCTGTAACTCATTCTCTTTGCCTTGCAGATATGAAAGTAATGAAAACATTGAGCTCGTCTGCTCGACAATTGTCTGCTCGTTTGGCAAACAGGTTGTGGAAAAGGTGGAGCACGAGTATTCGCGCCTGGAGAACAATCGCTACGTTTACCGCATTCAGCGCTCGCCCATGTGCGAGTACATGATCAATTTCATACAAAAGCTGAAGAACTTACCTGAACGCTATATGATGAACAGTGTGCTCGAGAACTTTACAATACTGCAAGTGAGTAGAGAAGGAAGATTTCTTCTAACACTCGCTCACACTTACTCACCCGCACTCTCTCTCTCTCTCTCTCTCTCTCCCTCTATCTGTGTCTTTCTGTGTAGGTAATGCGAGCGCAAGAAACGAAAGAGACACTGCTATGCATAGCGTATGTGTTTGAGGTGGCGGCGCAGAACAGCGGCACCACGCACCACATCTATCGCCTTATAAAGGAATAGCATGAGCTGCATGAAGCAGCGCCCAATCTGTCCGCGTTACCCACCAATGCACAAATCAGCGAATACAGCAACAACAACAACAACAGCAACAATACGAGTAGAAACCACAACAGCACAACTAACAACAGCAACAACGGCAACAGCAACACAGCCAACAGCAACGGCAACGGCAATAATAATAATGCCATCAAGAGCAACAACAACAACAACAACAATAACAGCAACGCAGCAACAGCCGCCGGCAGCACAGAGGAAGCCTGCAGCTCAACAACTCTGCAAGGCACAGGACAGGAAACGGTTGCGGCCGCTATTAAACAATCGCCGACATCGCCGCAACTGCAGCAGCAGCAACAACATCAACAACATCAACAACAACAACAACAACAACAACAACAACAACAACAGCAGCAGCAGCAACTGGGTGGCATCTCAGCGCTGCAAGTGGATGAGGTGCTGTATGCGCAGGTGCTGCCAGAGAATAGCTATCATTTGCAACAACAACAGCAGCAGCAGCAGCAGCAACAACAATTGCGTCAAAACACACACATGTTGCAACAGCAGCAGCAACTTGTGAATTACCAGGACCGTCCACCGCCGCCGCCCTACAGCGCCTGTGTCGCCAACAACAGCGGTAAACAGCAACAGCAGCAACAGCAGCAGCAGCAACAGCAGCAACAACGGCAACAACAGCAGCAATCGTTTGACGTGGAGCAACATCAACAGCAGCAGCAGCAGCAGCAACAACAACAACAACAACTTACCACCTATGAGCAGTTTCTGAAACTGTCCGCTCAGGAGTACACGCAACTGAACGCGGCCGCTGAGAATGCGGCGCTCAATTTGAGCAGCATGGGCGTCAGCAAAGCTGGCGAGGATAACGAGGTAAATGATGAGGCGACGTCCCATGAGCTGCGCATGTTGCGGCAGGTGAATGTGGCTGCCTCTGCCGTTACCGCCGCTGGCAATGCGAATGACAACGTGGCCGATACCGCCGACTGTGAGCAGTAGTTGTTGTAGGCGTCGCATGCTGTTCGATTAGGCATATACGATAGATAGATAGATAGATATATATGTATGTTAGCTTTGGCGATTTATTATGTACACACACACACACACACAGAGAGAGAGAGACGCACAACAACAAAGCGTGCCACAGGCATGTACTATATTTGATTTATTTACGCATATCTATATGCCAGAGAGAGAGAGAGCCTGCTGTACCTAACTTTAAAAACCTGTCACTGAATTGCATTGCCTTTCGAAAACAATAAGACAATCCTTCAGCTAAAGCGTTTCTATATTTATATATAGACCTGTCTATCGGCAACTGTTGCTGTCGTGCCGCGCTGCTGCCGTGCTGTGCGCTGTGCTTGTGCCTGTCTGTCTGTCTGTCTGCCTGTCTGTCTGTCTGTCTGTCTGTCTGGCTGCCTGTTTGAAACTGTCAGCGTAGTAATTTTTTTTATCTACATATATTTACATACATAAAAAAAATACATTTAAATGATCTCAAAGTTACTTAAAACATATTTTTTGTGTGTAATTTGTATGTTTATCTTTCTTTTTTTTATGTTTTATTTTGTGAAACGAAACATAAAAAAAAACATTAAAGCGAAGCAGTTGTCGTACGCTGATATTTTTAAAATGAAGAAACATCAAAGTTAAAAAGTTAAATATAATTAATTTACAAACAACAACATCTGAGTAAACAAAACAAACATAAACGTGCGTATGTTTGTATATCTTGTATTCTATATTTTATTCGACATATATATAAATAACTGTGCATATATATATGTAGTTATTTATATATATATACATATATATATCTATATATCCTTTTTTTTTGAGTGTATGTTTATAGCTATTAGAGTTATGGATCATAATATGTATAGTAACATTTACATTAGTTATTTTAAATTATCTATGTAAATTACAGCTTATGCCACACACACACACATATTTCGATGAATTGAGGGCAGGAGCTTGTTAGGATTAGAAAAGAGCTGCGAGCTGAGAGCTGAGAGGGAAGTGCATTGGGTGGGAAAAAAAAACGAAGCGTTGCCTTTGAGGCACATTAAAAAGAACACACACTGAGCTAGCAGCTAAAAGGGAAAGTATGCACAACGATAGATAAATCAAAAGAAAAAACTCGAAAAACAAATTTTCTTAAAAACAAACAAACAAACAAACAACAACAACAACAACAAGAGCAGCTTAGGTTTGTGTGTGTGTTAAACCACGATGTTATTTCTCGATATACTTATGTAACTATAGTGTAAAACGTATATGTGTAAAACAATTCATTTAAGCATGAATCGAACGATCCACCGTTATTAAAATGATTAACTATTGATTTAAATGCATTAAAAACAACAAAAACAAACACAAAAACAAGAACTAAAACAAAAAACAAAACCAAGAACAAATTCAAATGTGAGCAAACGAAAGAAACTTGGCTTCAAGTGCACGCCCAGCAAGAACAATAAGCGACCCTCCAAGTCGTGAATACCCAACCAACTGCATGGGCTGGCCTGCTGCTGGTTAGTCGTCAAGTGGCTCTATCCGATACATGTGTCGCGATCCAATGCCATATCCAAAAGCTGCGAACGTATCCGTAATTGCCACTTGCCGCACACCTCCTCCAGCTGGGACCTGGTCGCCTTGGGCTTGGGCTTGGGCTTGGGCCGGTTGCGTCGGGTTGGGCGTGCATTTGCTGCATGACACCGATAATTACAAAGAAATACAAAACAAACAAAAAACAAAAAAAAAAAAAAAATATATATATATATATAGATACATATATAAAAAGTAAAGCTAATTTAAAATAAAAGGAATGTATTGTAAATGTAAAATAGTATCGTTTTCGTATGTATATGTAGGTAACTAAGGCTAAACTATAAACAATACAAAGGTAAAGAAAGTATAATACATATTTATAAATGTAAAGTATTTCGTTGTTGTACGATTAAAACAAATACGCATTTTTTTTTTGTTTGTTAGTAAGAAAACTCAATTCAAGTGTTTGCATAAATCAAACGAAATGAAATGCAGAGCGCTAAAAAAAAAACGAAGGGAAATTTGTACATTTATCGACAACAAAACAAGGCATAAACAATAATGAAAAACAAATACAATAGTAAGCAATATTGATGAAGAACTTTGGTTAAACACTAGTATAAACGACACACACACACCCACACACACAACTCACTTGCAAAGGGGTAAAAAGTAACAATAATAATTAATTAAAAATCGAAAAGAAAAACAAATACTATTTTAAAAAAAATTTTTAATCGTGGAAACAGTTACAATTACATATTACAAGAAATACCGATTTATAAAATAGAAAAAGAGAGAAAGTTAATAACTAAACAAGCTAAAACATAAGTGTAACTACAGAGAAGCAGAGACACGTAAACTAAAGTAAAACAAAAAACAAAAACGAAAATGAAAATGAAATAAAAATAGTGCCTAACAGATGCAAAGTATTACACGCCGCCAAGTGTGGCATGTGGCATGCAGCTAGATTTGGTTTTACGGCCATGCCAACTTGTTTCAATCATGCGTAATTCTGCGATTCTTTTCCAAGTCAACATTATAAATGAATTAAACTACAGTTTCCATGAAAAGGTTAAAGAAACAACACTCACACACACACACACACACACACACACACACACACACACACACCTACACACACACGATGTATTTAGCGTTTGTGTTTTTGTTCATGCTCGATTTTGTTTTTCGTTTTGGTTTTTGTTTCAATCTGATTTGATGCAAAAATCTCACATTTTATACACATAAGAATCTGAATTACGATATTTACAAAAACAAAAAAACAAAAAAAAAAAACAAAAATCCGTTCAGTATGAATAGCTAACACTCAAGTTAGGAACCACCTTAAGATCTTAGTTTTACATGCATATATATTAATATCTATTTTTTTTTTTTTGAGACAATATTAGTATTTTTTTTTTTGTTTGTTTATTGCCTGCCCATTTGCCGCCCTGTACCACTAGCTATTCCTGTCGTACCTAATCAAAGCACAAAGCAATCGGAGAGCTACTTAGTTTTAAAATCCGTTCAAACTCGAGCCATGCGCTTGTAATTCGCAATTGGTTTTAACTGATTAATTGGCATATTGTGGACAAATCTGATTTGCCCAACAATTAGGCAAACATTTCATGTGAGATGCTCACATACTACACGAATATCAATTGTGTCTAAAATCTATTATATTGAAAAACGATCCATATACCAACTGAAAGCACGAGAGGTTCGCATATTGCGATATTTCGATTCAATTTAATTCGATTTCTCTTGGCTCAACTTAGTTTTCAATATGCAATACCAATTTGTTGTAAGCTATCTATGTATACATAGAGTTACTAAATATACTTATGTGCAAAAGCAGGACATGTGTAATGATTTTATGCCCCCCTTCCCCACCCCCTACTACATGGTACATTTTAAGTTATGTTTGGGTTTTGCTAAATAGAAAATTTAATTGTTTATTTTATTTTTTTTTTTTTTGTAAAATTACACTGTATTTAAATAAGATCATCAACAATCATCATCAGCATCATCATCAGCAAAAATAATAATGCTTAAATCAATTATTAATAAATTTATAAATAGATATACAGATAACTGAAAACAATAACAAACAAAGCAAGGATGAACAGTGAATTATGCAAAACAATAAAATTGCAATTATATTTATATGAAATGATTGCAATTGATGATTTAATTTCATATATATATATATATATATATATATATATATATATATATATATTGTGTGTGTGTATATATACATATAAACATATATGTATGTATTTTGTTTTATATTTGTCGTTCAACAAAATGCAAGGACAAGAACGAGAGCAAGTAAGGGAGAAAGAAACATGTGAAATTTACGTAAGGAAAAAATGTGTCATTTTAATTTTTACACTGAAATGCATTAATAAAAATTTTAATATATTAAAAAATCTCACATGATCTAGTCTTTTATTTAACTTGTTTTCTCCATATCAATTACACAAAACTGTTCACATAAAATATGTATTTATTTGACTGTACGCAATAATACGAGATGTTTTATTTTTAACACTGGAATCTGAATAACTTACGTAATTGAAGATCATGTAAAGATATACTCGTGAAACTCTGTAAAATAGATTGGAATCAAGAATTTTCGGTTCAGAACTAACCCGATATTTGAGAAATTTGTAATGTTACCCCTTGTCAATTTTATTAACATTGACAAAACTTTAGAATTAATGCGCATCAAAAGTCCGGCTCCATACGAGTCGGAAAAGGTATATCATTCCGAAACCGGACGAAAAATACCCGAGATATTCCAGTTTTAAGATTTTCCCAAAAAACTTTAAATGGCCATAACTCGAGTAATTGAAAGCCAATCGCGGAAAGATTGGGTGCGTTGTAATCGTGGAGATCCGTAGGATCGATTGCAATCAAAAGTTGTTAATGCCAAGACAAAGTCCATAATTGCAAAATACGTGCCAAAAGTGTCAATTTTGGAAAACTTTCAAAATTGAGATTTTTGAATGCAAATCGAAAGTCCGGCTCCATACGAGTCGGAAGAGGTATATCATTCCGAAACCGGACGAAGAATACCCGAGATATTCAGGTTTTAAGATTTTTCCAAAAAACTTTCAATGCCCATAACTCGAGTAATTGAAGGCCGATCGCGGAAAGATTGGGTGCGTTGTAATCGTGGAGATCCGTAGGATCGATTGCAATCAAAAGTTGTTAATGCCAAGACAAAGTCCATAATTGCAAAATACGTGCCAAAAGTGTCAATTTTGGAAAACTTTCAAAATTGAGATTTTTGAATGCAAATCGAAAGTCCGGCTCCATACGAGTCGGAAGAGGTATATCATTCAGAAATCGGACGAAAAATACCCGAGATATTCCAATTTTGGACCGACTATAGCTCGGAAAAATAAAGTTCGATCTCAACAATGATAGCCAATAGTTTTGTCCCCCAAAGAAAAATACGGATAAATTGCATTGCCATTAACTATATTTTATTATTACACACATATACATATTAAACGCAAAAGCTTGAAACTGCGTACATAATTCATTGGGCATTGTACATAGAATATAAAATCCAAATTTGTTTTTGTTTTTCTACATGCTTGTATGCACTCATAATCGTAAGAAGATGAGTTGTCTTTTCATTATTTTTTGGTTGTTTGTATATTTTAATTTATTTTATACAATACATGCTCGTAAATGTCGTTTTCATTTTCATCAATAGCGATTAAAGTACACGAAGAAAGGATTGTATATGCAACGGGATTGAAGAAGTGATCACTTTAGTAGCGCTGACGATCGATACTTTAGCATCGGGGCGCAGCAATCCTTTCCACGATGTTTGCGACTTTACCCCGCCGAAACTTAACAAAATGTACAATTTCAAAAAATCAAAAAAAAAAAAAAAAAAAAAAAATCAATTCAAATGGAAAGTAAAACTGGAAATTAAAATTTAAAGACAGCATGTTGTGAAATTACAAGGAGACGTAATTGCAGAAATTTTGCGGTTAAAAGGTGCTCCTCATACATAATTGAGGCTTTCTGTATGCTCACCAAATTCAAGTGTTGTTGTTGCTGTGTTGATTCTGTAGTCATTCCTATTGTTGCTGCTGTTCTTGTTGTTGGGGTGCATTGTTGTTTATTGACGGGCCGCCTTGTCGACAGGTTGCTAGGCAAACAACAGCCAACCGATGCAGAGAAAGGCGAGATACAAAAACAGTCTGGACAGCGTCTGCTCGTCGTCGTACTGTGTGGTGCCGCGATTAGCCGCTAAATATTCACAATGATGGGTATATATAAGTATATATGTTTATGTTGACATTTCAATGTACTTACCAGCTGGACGCGGCTCGCCAAAGTTAAGCGATGATGTAAAGAAACCAAAAGGAAAAGCACCAATGCCAAAGGACACGTGGAAACTATCCCCAAAACCAAAACCCGGAAAGCCAGGAGCTGGCTCGGGCTCTGTACGCTGGCCAGCAGGACGTGGTGGCACCTTATTGCTAAAGAAAAAGTGAAATGAATCAATTTTAGTTTATCGACTTGACGCAGAAAATTATTGAACTTACCGTGGATCCTCCTGGCGTGTGCTATTGCGACCGTAAAGCGGTATTACTTTGTCCTTATCAACGGCTGCCTTGCAAACGGGGCAGAGCTTGCGATTGGGGCGCGTCAACAGCCACTGATGCAAGCAGGGCCAGCAGAATAGATGGCCACACATGCTGACCACCGCATCCTTGGCTGTATCCAAGCAGATATTACACTCGTACAGCGACTCCTCGCTGGGCTCCTTGTCCTTGTCATTGCTGCCGGCCTCGTTAGCCGGTCCAGTTGCTGATGATGATGATGTTGACGACGGAGTCGCCTCAGCTGCGCCCGGCTCCTTGATGTCTGCAAAATTGCCACTGGCTAGGGCGCTGCCCGTGAAAGAATATGATGTTGCACGCTGGCGCAGCTCAGATGTGGCGTCAGCAGGATTCCTGGCCCAGCCAATGTTGTCCGTATCTACGCGCTCCGACCCATTTGTGGGTGAATTGTTGTTGTTGTTGTTGTTGTTGTTGTTGCTGCTGCTGCTGCCATTTGATGATGTGGAGGGCAGTTCGGGCGCCGTTGGCAACTGTGGCTCGCCAACCAGAGTCGCTGTTGCTGCCTCCATGGTCGACACTCTTCAACCGTCTACAAATGTGCCTCAAACTGTTGTTTCTGTTCTGTATGGGATCTGCTGTGTTTACTTTGACGTCCAAACGCACGCGCTGAAAGAACAAAAATCATACCTATTACAACTGGCAAAAACAACAGAAACAAAGGAAAGCAATTATAGATATTATCATCAGCCGGTGTAAACCCACAACTGCGGCGAACTGCCAACGGGTCTGTGTACGTGTACGTGTCTTGTCTTTCCGAGAGGGCGTGCGCGGACTGGCTGGACTGGACTGGGAGGTTGGTTCTGGAAAACCTACAAATACTCAACTGCCAATCAATAGTGGACACGTTTCCCAACATAAACGGCCAATGCACAAAAGTGTGTCAGCTCAGCTTCCCGCTCGAATGCGTTCGTATCTCCTAAGAATTCAAAAATACTGTTTAGAATTTGTGCCTAAACTAACTTCAATTTAATGTGGAACTACATACGCGTGACACTTGCCACCATGGCTTCTGGAAATATATTAAATATATATTTCAAATTCGAAGGTCCCAAATCGACAGTGACTTCTAGGATTTGAGTAACTCCAGATGCAGCACACACGAAATGAAAGTTAATAAATTGGACTTGTTAAACCCGGGCTACAAGCCTGACAACTTTCAATCGATGCTTTATGGGACGTAAGCGCAGGCTAATATGAGGTTTTAAGAAATCCCACTCGAAAGTGTGGAAAAAACGATTGTATGGAACATTTTTGTTTACCATTCGATCGGCTTCAAATTCAATTTCAAGATCTTGGTGAACATTCGTTTAACAATTTTCGGAAAGCCCACGCATTCTGGGGGGGGGGGATCATAGGCTATACGGCGAAACTCTAGTTACCAGAACTTTTAAAGTGTGTATTTAACTTTGACATCAACTCTAAGTTCCGATAGCTAGATGAGAAGGTGACATCTAAAATATGAGGCGATGAACTTAGCTAGTTATACAAAATGTTCCTTTAAAAGTTAATAATAACATATATAGTTATAGATATGCATGTATTCCCTATGTGTCGTATTCTATCATATTGCGTTTTAGCCGCACGCATGTTTATCGCAGCAGACGTAATCAAAGGTAATTGTCTAGTACTTGAGTTGAATTCGTGTGTTAATATACGTACGTATATATTTATATATACATATATATATACATATATTTAATGTATATACTTATATGACCCATATATATGTGGAACTGTTAATGCAGTCTCCATAACAGCGAACTCGGCATTGTAAACAGGTGCAAAGGTTTGCAATTTAAATAGCCAGAGTATTGAAAACATAATATACCGATATAATACACTTTGGAGCAGGTCATAAATATTTATTTCTAACGAAACGTATCGCACTCGACTAGCAGCTACCCTGTGGCTGCGTATATGTGAACATTTCTCAGTTTAACAATATGCAGAAAATACATTAAAATGAATTGATTAAAACCAGGTTTACGGTTCGAACCCTTAGGCTCGGGTTGCGATTTCCTGGTTTCGCAGCCATACATATGTAGGTATGTATACATCGGTCTCTGTGATACCCTTTTTGCGGGGTATACTATACGCTAAGTGAAATTTGCTACAGTGCACAGCTGCAGGTCTAAAGTTTACATTACAGCGCCCTAGATTGCATCATTATGGTTATTTGAACGTTTACAAGCAGGAGATCAGTTTGAAAAAAAATAAAAAGACGTAAAACGCGTGATGTTTTAAAGATAACGACAACACTTGCACCTAAAAGCTTCAATCGGTTCCGGATATCAAGTGTTGCGTACCTGCCAGAACCTTAAGCGTTCGCTTCGTTGACGCTAATCAAATTGTACACACATTGTACATGTATTTTTTAGTCGGGGCAGAGCCACCAGGCAAGCTTTTAGCTTTACCCAATGAGCAGCGTACTTTGCATCTGACGTGCAAAAACGTATGTACATGCTCAAACACATATTTACCATACGTTAATATATGTACATCGATGCACGTATGTGTGTGCATATAAGTGTAGCGGTTACCCTATCAGATGAAAAGGCATACATATTGAAAAGTATACACATATGTATGCGTGCACAATAAATACACACACAAATGCAAATCCATGTACTCGCTGCGCTACTGTTATTGTTTGCTTGTTTTGGTCAAAACGCTATACAAATGGGATTTACAATAATTGGCACTCACATGAAATTTCTTTTTTTCGCGTCACATGAGTTGCTTTGTTTATGTTGAAAAGTTTTTCACAAACTTGACTGAGCTGAAATGTGTTTATTTTGATTTTCCTCAAGGCAGAACAGGTTGGGCCTGGCATACTACGTCAAAACATATGCACATACACACACATAGATATACATACCTTTTAATAACGTATCATATAATTACACGTAATTTCTTTTGATTTGAACGATTTACGTTTATTAAACAGGCACTACAGCTGTTAATTGTGTCACATTAAATTTCATTGCAGTAATTCTTTATTATTTTTGGTTAAAAAAAAAATAGATATATGTATATATAAAAAATGGTCAGAACCAAAGCGATGGTGATATGCCTCTAATTTGACGGGTTGCGACAATCGACTAGGAGGTGGTGGTATCACAATCGATATGCATATATATCGATAAGCAAGTAAAGCAACGATGCTTTTCCGTTTCCATTTACGATTGTTATTGCGATATTTTTAACAGTTTGTGCTTCAATTTAATATGATTTAACCATTCTGACATTGCAATTGAGCCATTTAAAATTAATTATTTACATTTGTTTAAATCTGCAACCACTTTTTAAGCAATTAATTCATATAATCATTGGCGACCGCCATGCATATTTATACGATAGTTTCGTGCTCAATTTTAGCATACCAGCATGACACTCAATTTTTAGTGTAACTATTGTCATGCTTGTAACAAGCTTTTAAACTTTGAACTGACAACTTTCCCTAACCCAAAATACATATTAAAAAACAAGGATTGGGTAGATATTTATAATCAGCTAAAAAAAAAAAAACAATTAAAGTTATGATATGTATAGTAAACCAACATTATAGAAAATAAAAAGTTTATTCGTGTTGCCAGCAAACATGCAGTTAAGATTTAGCGCAATTATCGAAAATTCTACTTCTCCCGTGCAAAAAAGCGGTGCATATGCTGCTACTGCAGCCTACATTTACTTTACTATTATAAAAAATGAGTAACTCATACGTATATTAACAGCCGCTTAAAAAGCAGCAGCTGCGATAACCTGGAGTGCCATATAAGCCGTGGCCACCAACGCCACAAAGAAGGCGAGCGCACGTGCCGGCTGGGGTACAACCACGACGGCATAGACCAGGGTATGGGCGATGCGGGAGATACCAACGGCACGGAATAGATTAATGGCCAGAAAGGCGTTGGGGTTCGTCAGTGTATAGAGCAGGCCGATTATGAAGAATGGCAGAATGTTCTCCAGATCATTGCGATGCGCCCGACGAACACGCTCCACGTTGGGGTCGTCGAATTTAACCTTCAGCTTTGGGGACATTAAATCCTCCTGATTGGCAAATGTCTGAAAGGCAACAAACAAAGTCAAAATATATTTATTATCTGGCCGCTTTCACCTGCTGACCGGACTTTGACTCAGCAGCTAACTAATCCTCCTTCTCCACTCGCTTACCTTGGTCTTGAAGCGCTGTATGGCCGTAAGTAGAGCCATAGCCAACATTTTAATTACCAGCACACCGGTCCAGAACGTATAGCTCTTGAACACCGGGTTGGTTAGTGTAAGTAGTTCCAGACTCATGATTGTTTCTAATTTAATGTATTTCTTTCAGTCGCCAATTGGGAACCGCCTTTGTGCGTTGCAAACTATCAACTGACGTGAGCGCGACGTAAATTCTTATTATATGTATGCCGGCTGATGTTGCTCTCTGGCGCTCGCTCTCACTTGGCTCTCTCACTGATAACTAACAGTGCTATGCGGCGGCAACAACACTTTCTGTGTGTCTGTCTGTGTGTGTGTGTGTGTATGGAAAGCGCCGAGTCATACTGACAGCACCAAAAACATACATACATAACTAAATATTTGAACTTACCAAAGTTATGAATCGCCAGATGCCGGTCACTAGGCTCATGGAAAACATTTTGAGAACCAAGAGCGCACTCCATCCTATATAGCAACGGAACACTTCGTTGTCGAATGAGATCAGCTCGCGATGCAGCATTGTGTCGATTTGGGATTCACTTGACGATTGAACTGCATTCCCAGTCTGAGCTAAAGCTAAAGCTATAGCTACCTGCCCTTCTAACTATTCCGCTGTAGATGCTTTTCGAACCTGGTGTGGGTCCAATTTCTCTAACAGGGCGAACAACTTGTCGACATCAAATGCTAAGTATATAATTTTACATTTACATTTACATTTAACTATCCGTTTTATACCAGTTACCCATTGAAAATGACTTAAAGGGTCATTTTGGTTCTGTGCAAATATGTGTAACTTCTCTTGCCCCATCTAAGCTCAATATTCTTGCCGCCTTGAGTCTTGGTATATACATATACGCTTATAATTGTCCAATTTAAGCTCAAATTTTCAATAAGGATCGTTCTTTTAAACCGGAGTTATTCAAGTATGTATTTAATTCGGGAAGAAAAGAACAGCTGAGCACGGTATCTACTAGTCGGGCACTTCCGACTACAGCTCTGCTAGTATTTAATTACCTACTAGTTAAAGCTTAGTTAGTTGCCCTTCGCTAGCCGCTTAAACGCAAATTTTTAAAACATAACACTTGCGTGTCAAGAATTATACTTACATACAGAAATTAAATATCTACAGAATCTTAGTTTTTTTTAATAGAGCTAAGAGCATACAATCCAGACTTGTATGCATATTCGAAAATATTCGAGATCTATCTGAAGCGCATCCCACAATCGAGCAGACCCTTTTAAAGTTTACTGTAGGCCTTACAGCTGCATAAATCGCAGTGATTAAATGAAAATACAAAAGCTAACAAATTACTGTAATTACCATGAATTAGAAACAAAAAGCGAATAATTTTCAATTTAGCCCAGTAGCAGCGATTATGAGTATAAAAAGTGCTCAGCACTTACATTAGCTATGCATATCTAGTTAGGGCTGAATTTAATATGAAAATTATATATATTTCTTAAATACCTGATAGCGAAAACAAAAATAAATAAATAATAAACAAGTACTGCCATTGCGCTAGTCGAGAAGGCTCGCCATAGAGATATACATATGTATGTATGTGAATGACAATATGTGTTTATTTATTTTTATGTCTGGAGTCTAGGTCCAAAGTATCTAAAGTAAACTTATGCATGGAGCATTTTATTGATGTATACTCATATGTATATAATATATGTATATGGGAGCTGGTATTCAACAATATATATGTATATATATGAATGTATTCAACAATATATATGTATATATATGAATACCAGCTCCTATATGACAATCAGAACACGTAGCTTATGAAAACCCTCAATATTTATTTATTAGATCTGATGCAACGCTCGACCTTAGTAACAGGGAGGCATACGCCAGTTTTATAGATTATAGCAACGTATCACCTTACTATCCGTATAAGAGCTTAAATAGATTAGCCAAAACAAAAACAAAGAAAAAGCTATTGCTTATGCAGTTGCATGTTCCGATTCGATTGGAAAACTATTTTATAAATCTGGCACATAGCCGAGATGTGCCCAAAGGGTTGTGGGTCTGCTCCATTAAGAGACCTTCAATTATGCAGCATGGAATTGTGAACGCATAAGAACCACAGTCCCTGTTGCAGCTTAACTCAATCAGATTCAGATTCAGTTTGCGAATATTTTTCAGTATTACTTAAACTAAAGTGCGCTGTAATCTCTCATCTTCGTCTCCGTTTTTCATGATTGTCTGTATTTCTGGTTTTGTCTCTGGCTCTGTCAACATTTTGCTAAAGAACACGACAGGCGGCATATGCACTTCAAAATGAAATGCCTTTTCCTCCGATTCTCGAGTGTAATTAATTAATTTCGCGCTCATTTCGCTATGCGACCATCATTGTTTGTTGTTGCTGCAACTGCAAAACATAAATCATAATGTGCAAATTTACATAATATTCGCTGGGCCAACGATGGCAGCTCAGTGATCGTTCTACATTGGTCGTGGACACGCGTCGTCGCCGGAACAGCATCCAAGTAACCCGAAGTAACCCAAGGCTCTCAAGGATATCTGAAAGCAACTGAAAACGTGTGATTCGAATTATATTTTTGAGAATGTCTCACGGTGAACGGAAAGGTCGCCTAAATGTGATTAAATTTTTGGAATTGGTAAAGATTGATTTTTTTTTGTTTTTTAATTTTCAGTGAACTTTTCCACTGTGAAATATCACAATTAAAAAATAGTTATATAAAGTTTTAAAAAACCATCGAAATATTCAGCCTGATAACCAAGCTATGCCTGAATACCCTCAAAAAGTTATAACCTTTTTTTGAATTCCATAAACCCTGTCAGAGTCTGAAAATCTAAAACTATGTAAAAAGAAAGCCGTTTAAAAGCTAACAGCGTTTGTAGGGTATTTATAAGAAGCTCTTATAGATTTTATAAATACTAATCGGATTTATCCCTAGGCCTTTTCCATCGCCTGCCTCGTGCTGCATTTCTACAGTTTCAACGATCGCGACATTATGACGTCATTCATGGCAACGGGCACATTCACCGGCTACATTATAGTGGTAATTGGTGTATTTGCAGGTAAGCACCCGAACTTTATCATACTTGCATATTTATATATAGAGCGATGCTTATAAATCTTGTTTCATAAAAGGCGTCCTAATGCGTGCACCTATACATAAGCGCATAGACATCTTCTTCAGTGTCCTCGGCTGCGCCCTGTTTGTGGCCAGCGGCGTCTTCATAATAGAGGCCTGGGAGTTCTCGTTTCGTACGCGCACAAGGGATTTGGCGCTGATCAAGGCTTCGCTGTCTATTGTGAATGGTGTGTTGTTTGGGTTCGATGCTATCTTCACATTTCGGGATAAGTAATGTACTTTCGATATATATATATATATATATATATATATTACATATATTATCGGTGTTCGCCCAGCGACCTTGCATTTAAAAAAATAACGTATACGTACATACGTACATATTTATAATTAACAGATAAACTTCTTGCCAATTTTAAAGAAACCGCAACGCATTACATTCATACATTTTTTAAATCACAAGGTTAGTTAAAAAAGAAAACGATACAAAAACGCGTTTATTTTGCAAATTTTTTCTGGTCTCTCACTCATTTACACATTTTTTATTTTTGTTTTTAGTCCTTTGCATTAATCATATTTTGTGTGACATTTTTTGTAATTGTTCTTGTCAATAAAAAAAATAGAAGCCTACAACATGCATCAAATGTGATTATAATTAGGCTAAAGGCCCGCCCAACACATACACACACACACACACACACACACACAGCCATACATAATACATACACATGCGGCAATTAGCCGCTGACATGGAAAGCACTAAAAATAGCTCGAACGCGCTTTTACATGTTTAAAGTAGTTAGATTTAAATTTTTATTGTGTGTTTTTTTTTGTTTTTTTTGTATGCTTTTTATGCTTGATTGACGTGAGAAAATATGCAACACCGTCTTTTTAAGTTGTCGTCGTAGTTGTGTTGATCTAGGGCTGCATCTTTGGATGTTGTTGCTGCTGGTTGCTGGTGTGATTGCTGTTGGCTGTTGTTGTGGCTTTCTTAGGCAGAATTGTGTATGTTAAGGCGGAAAATATCGTGAGCAACAAAATAGGTACCGGCATTGGCTTTCAACACAAACACCTGAGAGAAAGCGTGTGGCGGATCGTCATCGCACTGAAAAATGTTTGAAAATAATTAATATTAATACGATATGCCTTCGAAATAGAACGATAAAATATAAACGTTTGCAAAATGTTTGTTTAAACGCGTGCAAATACAAAGTTAAGGGATAGCATTAAAAGAAGAGGAATATAAAAACAACTAGAGTGTCAGTAATGCACCAATAATCCAGAAGAAATTCGCTCTTCGGCGCACCGAAGCTGGGCATACCCTTGCAGACATCAAATGTCAACCATTTCAAGTATTGTTGATCGCTGCCTTGCAGAATATATATACATATGTATGTCGCCTCTATTTCTTGTTTATCTTAAATACAATTCATACAATAAACATTTGTGAAAAATGCGTACCAAGGAATATTAATTTGCAGACTTCATCTCAAATAAACAGTAATAAAAGGAATATTTGAAAAAGCTCTCCCTAATGGGATAATATCATCATTGTTAACCGTTTTTTTCATGTTTTTCATTAATATATATGTACTTTTTAAAAACATATTTTGGATCAAAAACAATTGGAAAATAATGATTGAACTATAACAAGTAACCGAGTGATTCCCAGTCTAAAGCATTTGTTGCATATCATATCATATATTCAGAAAACATGCACGTAGAGAAGAAGCCCAATTAGCTGTGTAGCTCATGACTATGACTTAATGTAAGACTGGAACGGACTATAATTTACTAACTTGACTGCAAAGGTAATATAAATATTATTATTCCAATACAAACAAAGAAAATTAGAAGCTTGGTTTTTGTTGCGGTGTCGTAAAAACCATGCACTAATTGACATATGTTAAATTGTATTAAGACTTTAACAATAACCTGACTGCAAAGGCAACCCATGCTCAGAGTGTAGAGTAGAAAGAAGACACGATGATCGCAATGAGCTGGAGCCGGGATAACAGAGGCCCTGCTGCAGCAGGTGTGTGTGTGTATGTATGTATGCATTTATGTACATATATTGAAGTTTGGTGTGCATGTAGTTTTGTTAGCATGGTTCAATAGAACAATTATACAAAAGTATTAATCTCATTTAGTAGGTCAATGTTGTTGGTTTTTTTGTTGTTGTTACGATAAGATGCAACAATATGCTGTTTACTTTGCCTGGCCAAGATCGCTCTCTGAGTGTGTTTCGGTTGTAGTTGTTGTTGTTGTTGTTTACTGTCGATCTGCTTGGCTACACATCGTGCAGCGCAAGCCTAAAGATATCGTGCTGCACAAAGAAGCTAACGCCCACAGGCTTGAGCACAAAGGTCTGAATATACGCATGCGGCTGATCCTCATCGGTCTGCATCAATATATACGATACACGAAACATACATATATATATATATAGATTCATATAATCATATACATATGCCTAACCATCTCTGTAGTTGGCGAACACATTGCTCGCTTATGATTCTCACCTGTAGACGGCCCAGCACATTGATCAAGACGCCGCCATCGAATGTGGGCTGCGAGTCAACTGTGGTGATTACGCGCGTGATCTTTTGGAAACTCAGACTCTGTGGAATGAAAACAAGTTGGTTACACCTCTTTCGATTATTTATGTTAATGGCAGCACTTACCTGCACTTTCTCAAGTATCTTTGGCGCTCCTTGTATCTGATGGCCTTCGAAGGTCATGAAGGACTCTGTTGCCTGTGCAAAATGAATGGAAAACAAATTGAAAATATTCGATTAGTGCGTGCGTGTATACTAATACATAAACACACATACGATTCATGTATATACAAACATGGCTATATGCGTGCATATATATGTTGGCATATATGAGAATGTGTGTGTGTGTGTGTGTCATACTTTTTATACGAAATTTCGAGAAAGCTACATTTATGGAGATATATTTAATATTTAGCTTTAATCTAAACTGCATTGTTTAAGCGAAAATAACAAAAATTTGTTTGCGCGCTCTTTTTGTCACTGCAGCTCCAGGCAAAAATTATGTTTGAGGCAATTGTCAAGGGCGCATTGCGCGTCACCCGTGTGGCCAGCCACAGTGAATAAGCCTTTGTTTTTACATATCCTGGTTAATACAGAAATGTGTGTATCCTGTTTAAATTTAGTATCTGAAAGTGACGATGGGGATAGCTAGGGAACTTGGTCGCCCAATCGGGGGACGCTACTCACGCTGTAGAAGTTAACCACATTAGCGCGGTTCGCCGGGTCGTCGAATATACTATAATATTGCTGAACGAAACCCTTGCCGATATCTTCGTACTGTGGGTTAAGTGCCATATTGTCTATATCAGTTTATTGTTGGAAGTATGGCTATGCTTTAGTACAAACTAAAGAGCTAATCAAAAAGTTTTACTAAAACTTTGCTAATTTGAGACACTGAAAACGCAAGACAAACGGCAAGTGTGACCGAAAACGGGAAGTAGCTAAAAACTGGTATTCAATTATTTTGCCAGCATAATTTAGCGGCTACGATTATTCGATTATAATTCAATCAATATCGATAGGCGAAAGCGCAACATGTTAAATATTTTTCCAACAATTAAAACTCATTCGCTGAGTATCCAATGCCCATGCATAATGGTCTTATAATTTTGAGGTTCTTTTGTGATCATTTAATTTCAATTTTTCATATTCGATTTTGTAAGTGGACAAAGTCGCCGTATTTTGCGTCTTCAATAAAACGGTCACACTGTTACGCTCTCTAAATTCCAAGCGGCTGTGCGTTTCGTGCGCAACACGATTAAATTGGTTTTGTGTTATTATGTTAACTTTTGCAAATATTTCCCAGCTTTGTCGCATTTGCCTGCGCCACTTGCGCCAGATTAACGAGCAACAACAGCAAAATGCCACTGCCGACAGCCATCACACTCAGCGGAATAAAGCCAGTTACAACTTGAAGGCGCTACCCAATTTGGCCAAAATGTTGAATCAGTTTTTTGCCATTGACGTATTTCAGCAACCGGACACCTTTCCTCAGAACATTTGCGCATTGTGCTACAATGCCGTGGAATATTTCCAGCAACTCTGCTGCGTCGCCGAGCAAAGCAACGAGATGCTGATGCGCCTGACCATATCCCTGACCGTCGACCAGCCGGAACGTCCGGTCACAGATGATAATGCTGCTGAAAATGCTGATCACTCGGTTGGTATATACAATTCTTTACAGTTGAGTCAGCTTGTTTTAGGGCTGAGCTAGCATTTTTGCAGTTGCCGTTCGTGAAAGCTGAGCCCACGGATGACGAAACGCAACGTGATCAAGTATACGATTACGAGCTAGATAAAGACGCAGGGGCAGACGCTGACGTTGATGCAGACGCAGCCGTAGATGCTAATAATCAGAGCCTGGACTCGACAAATGATGATGAGACCGTCATGAGCTGTGCAGAGACAGACGCTGCAGCTGCGGCTGCGGCTGCCAGCAAACGCAAGCTACTCGCCTGCCAGCAGTGCGGCAAGCAGGTGTACAAGCTACCCTATCTGGAGGCTCACATACGCAGCGTTCACGAGGGCCATCCGAAACCGTTCCTGTGCCGCAACTGTGACAAAGCATTCACACGCTACGAACAGCTGCGTTCGCATATGCGCAATGTGCATCCCGGTGCTGCGGCCGCCACCGCAGCGCCCAGCGACGAAGTGGAGCTGATCTGCGAGCAGTGCAATCGCAGATATAGCACCAAAAATGCGCTTGGCGAGCATCTGAAGCGACATGCACAGGATAGGCCGCATATTTGCGAGCACTGTGGCGTCGCGAAGGTAACACGCACCGAACTGCTCACCCATCTGCGTATCCACAATCCCGACTGGGAGAAGTTCAAGTGCAAGCAATGTCCGCAGCTGTTCCGGCACAAAAGCGCCATCAGCCGGCACGTCCGGGTCGTCCACGAGGGGCAGCGGCGATTCCAGTGCGGTCACTGCCAGAAACGATTCGGTACTCATGCCTCTCAGCTGCGACACGAGCGCCTGCACATTGACACGTTTTAATCAATCTTGGCTAACTATATATATTTGCCAATGCAAATTTATATACATGTATTTATTCCAATTGCTTATATATATTCCAAAAATTATTTTTACTTCTCTATTTGTTACAACTATTATATATCATATCGAGCATATTGACATACGTACACACACAAAGTTGAGTTAGCAAAACAAACTAATGTTATTATATTTTTTTAGTTAATACAATCATTGTTTTCCCATATAAAAGCACAATATATTCCATTACCATTGCCAAAAAAAGTAAGATTAAAAGTAAAAGAGAAAACTTATAAAAACTAAATTAAATTACATACCTCTTTTGTTCAGACGGAAGTACAAAAACAAAACTAACTTTACTTTCTGTATAACTTTCTGCTTTGGATAGCACTTCCTTTCAATACTCGGTTGTATTGTTACCAATTTTATATAAATCAATCGAGTAATGCAATATATTTAAACTAGTTATTGTAAACGAAGCCCATGTAAATTGTTTCTAACTTTGCTTCTCTTAGTTTATTTTAAAATATTTGTAACTCAAGTGCACAATTCTATGCACCCGTCTCAAATGCATTTTCGCATATATCTTTAAAGATGAGCATAAAATATTAAAAAAAATACACACAAAATTTAAAGGCGGGTAAAATTCCGTATTGATGATTGAAAAAAATTCGTTGAAAAATGCAGCATCCCGGTGTTGATCAGCAATCAGTCGGTCGGTCGGCCAGTTAATCAATCAGTCCGTCCGTCCGTTAGTCAGTCAGCATAAACAGTTTTATATACATTATAGAGATTATGCGACAGTTTTGATACATTATAAGAATTATTGAACAGTTTGGTAAAATTGGGCGCTTGCTAAAAGACAATCCGTGCAGGGCCTGCGTTGAAACTTCCGATTTGTCGGGAGGTAGACTCCTTGTTAAACCAGTTCTTCATAGAAACCACCCAGTTCTCCATGTGGCTGTCGTGTGTGTGTATCTCAATAAGTTGATTCAACTCCCTTTGATAGTCTCTGGCCAGCTGCAATTCGTTGTCATCGAAGGCTTCACAGATCTTGTGCACAAGATCGGGTCGGATATTAACAACGACCAGACTGCTGCAATTAAAGCCGGACATTAGCCCGCTGGCAAGTAGCGCCGTGGAGGCCAGCATAACGACACGCCCAAAGCGAAGGCATCGCTGACCCATTTCCAGATCAGCGCTGGCATAGTACAAGCCCATAAAATTGGATATGCTGCGCTCAGCCTTGGCGCAGAATTCAACCATGTCCACTGCAAGGGTCAGATGTATGGATTACATGATCATATCGGACACATTAACTTACGGTCCACGCCCGTCATCGAAGGCATGTGATAATAAAAGAATGGCCTCGTGCGGCATCGGGTCGCCACATGCTGGCAATAGCCCACTAATTGGTCCACATTGCGGGGCCGATAGAATAACTCTGGCAATGTAACAACGCCGCTAACGCGTACCTCCTCGGCGTGTGCGGCCAGCGAGAGGACGTCGGGTAACGGCGCCCCGCCCACCTGTACCATAATCATCAGATTGTGCCGAACGGCGGCACGCTGCCAATACTCGCAGTTCGCCTTGCGCTCGCGCACACGCATCATTGGCCCCTCGCCGACGACGCCATTGATGAGAACTCCGGATATCATTTGACTCTGTAGCCACTCCGCGTAACGGTTGATCGGACGTACGTCCAGGGAGCGACGACTAAGCACATACACACACACATATATATGTATATATATATATATACATATATTTATATATATATATTTATACATATATAGTTGCTTGTCTATAGAAAGTCACTCATTTATACTTACTCATCATCCTTAAAACAGCTAAACACCGGTGCCATCAGCCCCTGAAATCTTGAACTAAAGGTCCCAGTTTCCCTGGTCAGTTGAGTTTGTGATGCTTGCTCAGTTTCCAATTGATTGCTTAGTTGCTCTTTGCTTTCCTGTCGCTCTGTGGATATACAAATTGTACTCATATAATATGTGCAATTTTGTTAAACAGACGGCACAGATTACCCGAAGCCGCTGGCTGTTCCTGCGACTCGGTTACACGGCTTTCAGTTGATTTCTGTACGCTCTTATTATCACGGCTTCCCGCATCCCTACGAAACCAGGCCATAGTGCCGGCTAGAGGCGGCGCCTAAATATCTTTGAAGTCTACTATGAATTTTGTTTAAATTATTTGAACTGAGCGAAAAGTCGCAAACTGTGCAGTGAAATTCTACTTACAAAGTAGGTGCTGGCTAGCGCATGTTCAAAAAATGGCGGTCTAATCAAGTGTGACCAGACACAAGTAAAAGCTCAAATATCCATTTGCTTGAACTGATAGGATAAGAAAATAAAATTTACAAACAAACGGCAAAAACTAAAAAAAATAAAATTTTAATTTATGTTGCCCATTTTTTGAACTAAATACTCAATTTCCAAAAGTCATTTACTGTGATAAAGCATATGGCTTTTTGGCGCATGCAACTGCAACTTGCCAAGTTAGGCCGCTTGGCAATTGGCTCCTCACTGCGAACCCGATTTCATCACATTTCGGCAAACATCGCAAAATCAAAACAAATAATACAACAAACACAACGCAACGAATTTTGTCATTGCAGCAACAGAATCGACAGCAGCATGCTGAAATATTTAAATCAAAGTGAGGCCATTAATGTGGACCTGGAGCTCTTCAATGAGTACAAGTTCAGTGTGGATCAGCTAATGGAACTAGCCGGTCTCAGCTGTGCTCACGCCGTGGCCAAATGCTTTCCGGCAAAGGACTTTGCCCGTGTACTTGTCTGCTGCGGACCAGGCAACAATGGTGGCGACGGCCTCGTCTGTGCTCGCCACCTGGCATTAATGGGCTACACACCCGCCATATATTATCCAAAGCCAACGCCAAAGCCGCTCTACGAGAATCTGGCACATCAGTGCCAGCGCATGGACATTTGCAGCATAACCGAATGTCCCCGCGTGGAGGAAGCTGCCGATCGTTATGATTTAATTGTGGATGCTCTATTCGGCTTTAGCTTTAAGCCGCCGGTTCGCGCCGACTTTGTGTCGGTGGTGGAGCTGCTACAGCAGACAAAGCTGCCCATAGCCAGGTGCGAATGCAGCTCATTAACCATTCTATTATATGCCTACTAAGCTACCCCATTGAATTTTTATAGTGTGGACATACCCAGTGGCTGGGATGTGGAGCAGGGTAAGCTGAACGATTGCGACCTAGAGCCAACGCTGCTCATCTCACTGACGGCGCCCAAACTGTGCGCCAAACACTTTAAAGGCAAGCATCACTTTTTGGGCGGACGCTTTGTGCCGCCAGCTCTGCAGCGCAAGTACGAGCTGAATCTGCCTGCCTATCCGGGTAACGAGTTGTGCCTCGAGCTGTAAATATATTCTAAACGGATCTGAGAACAGGTCTAGGCCATTTAAATTTAAAAAAAACGCAACTTGTTAACAATTTAAAGTCTGTTACAAATTGATCGTAACTTCATGTTTTCCCTAACATACGTTGTATCTCTCTCTCTCTCTCTTTATGACTCTGTGGAACGGTTGGTGCATTTTGGAAACCGTGCATCGAATCAGTCTGTATCGCGTAATGTGTATTGCATTGAAAAGATATCTCTGACCCCATAGAGTATATGAAAATGTATTCTTTATCAAAGGCCCAACGTCATAGTTAATATGCAAACTGGTTCTGCTTTGAAGACATGCTAATGCAACTTGGCATAGATTCCTTCTGTTGCAGCAGACAGTCCGAGCTAATATCCAGTTACCCGGCCTGTAAGCCTGGCATTATACCTAGCCTAGCGTTCATTGAATGAAATTTAATTTTTGGATATTATTATGATTTATTTATTACAACATATACGTTTGTGGCATATACATATGTAGTATAACATTCCGTACTATTTATACAAGCGGTTGTAATTCTTGCGTCTGCGATCTTCCTCGAAGTTGTTATTGCGCGCCCACTCCTTTAGGTTGCCCTTGGAGCGCAGCATTGCTGATTTTGAGTCTACGTCACGCATCACAAACGGTGAGAAGCCGGCAATATAATCATCATCCAGGGCATTTGTCTTTGTTTTGGCCACGCGTGACGGCATCTGGCGCGGCATGGGCTGATCCTCGAACAGAATGGGATTGCGCGAATGCTTGCCGCCATGGAAGCGTGGCAGGCTCTGGTTCTTATACTTGGACGAAAGGGGACGTCTTGTGTTTATGTGTATCACTTGTTTGCCATTCTCGTCCAGGCTGACGGCCACGCGTTTCAGCGTCTTGTTGCCACAGTTCGGACAGAACACCTTGGTCATGATGCTTGTCGTTTTGAAGCAGGCGTAACAGCGCAGTATGTAGGTGCGCAGCTGCTTGATAATGCGTCCATTGAGCGCGGCCAGCTGAAGATTCAGCTGTTTCAGCACATTTTGTAGCGCATAATCTGTGGTCATGCACGCCACTGGCGGCACAATATCTGTTTCCACTTTGCCCTCGAGCGCTTTTTTGGCCTTCTTGATGTTTGAATGCGTTATCCAGCCATCGTCGCCAACGTCGTCGTCTTCGTCGGCGGCGTCGTTATTATTGCAGCCTGGCTGCTCCTCTTCGTCTTCGTCTTTGGGCTCCGCCACTAGAAGATCGCAAGTTGCCCGTTCCTCGTCCGCGGATGGCGCACATTTCAGTTTCTCAAATAGCTTATCCAGCTGCTCCTGTGTCAGATCGTCCTCCTCTTCCTCGTCCTCGTCATTGTCGTCTGTCTGTTTGCTGTCTGGACTCGGTATCTGTTTGCCCTGCAGCTGCGCTTCAATGGCTTCCTTAATATGGTCTACATGATCGCTGCTTTTTTCCAGCTGCTGTTCACTATCGTCGCCTGCCTCATTGGCATCGTACTCCTCATCTTCTTCTGTGCCCTCATCGTCTTCGTTACCTTCGGGCATGTACCAGCCTACCAGACGCTTGTTATTAACATCCTGCATCTCCTCTGGCTGCTCCTTGGATGCAATTACCTGCGAGACGACTGGTTCGTTGCGCAGGTGCTCGGTGCCCAGTGTGTCCGCCTCCAGTTCATACGTGAGCGAGATCACCTTTAAATCAATCCCAGATAAGCTCGCATAGTCGCCAGTCTTCTTGGCAAACTCCACGCAGTGTTTAACACTTTCTGGGCGCGGCTCTCGCACCTGCAGATCAAATGGCAGCACACATAGTCGGCGTATTTGGCGTTTATTGCGCACCTCAGCAACCACCTCCGGCACGGTTAGCACATTGTCCGCATATTCCTATAAACCATCGAACATTAAAAACAAAAAATTGTGTTTAAATGCATCCACTTACATTCAGTGGCACTGCATTGATAAACGCTGTTGTGTCTGCTACAAGATATTTGATTTTCGTGCTACTTGTATTCATTTTAGCTCGTTCATATATATTTGTAAGCACGGACTAAGAATAAAAAACAATTTTTATATGTGCACGTGTTGGGGCCATGAACTATTCAAACTACAAGGTAGTGCTTCAGAGGATACACAAATCGTTTCGTTTTGGTGAACTACGTCATAAATATTAACAAGCAAACCAAAATGTGATAATAATCAATTTTAATATATTTATAATAATTGTGTTAGTTGGATAAGGGTCTATGAGTTTTACAGAATGAACAATTGCGCTGCAGGTATTGTGCTTTTAAAAATAATAATATAGGAGCAAACCTTGACGACACAGGTCAGCACAGAAATTACTTCAAATCTATCGACAATGTGTGTGGCGTGTAACCTTTCCGCATAACTATTATAATTCTCTGATGCTAGTCCATCTCTAACTGTTATCGCATTCAATTGCACCGATAGGCAATAACAAACAGTATTGTATCAGCGATACGATATCAACATCCCTCTCAAAGTTCATCTCTAGTTTTCAAGCCAAAAATGGCGAAGTAAGTGCGTGCTCTTTTCTTTATGTTCGGTTTTGGTTTTCTTGTCAATGTTACAGACCGCACAAATTATATAAAACCGCGCCAAAGCAACCTTAAAAGTAAGTAAATCAACAATCAGAGTGCAATTACAATTAACAACAATTACTATTCGCGTGTGACTATCAGAGAATTGCAATATAGAACGTACATTTTAAAATATCGCCAATGTGGAATCAATGGCCAGTCGCTGCGGTGCCAGCTGTGGTGCCAGCTGCGCCAATAGCTGCACCGCCACCACAACCGGCAGTGCCGCCTCCACTGCCCGATGCACCACCACCGCCACCGCCAGTCGACAATACACCAGCCGCGGGCACTGTTTCGACTGCTGCTACGGTTGCAGGTGCTACCGGCACCTACATGGGCGCTGGGGCTGGCCAATCTGCTACCAATCCGTATGAACAATACACGGCCGCTCAGTACGCGGCGATGACGCCGGAACAGCAGTACGCATTGCAGCAGCACTGGCAGCAGTGGCAGACCTACCAACAGGAGTACGCCAAGTGGCATGCACAGTATGGAGAACAGGTGAGTTGTGCTCGTTGCTAACCTTTCCAATTAGTAATAAAATTATTTTATGCATGGTTACAGTACAAGCGGGAAATGGCCGCCGCGGCAGCTGCTAACACTGTGCCAACTGTGGCGCCTGCACCGGTCGCAGCGCCTGTAGTACCCAATGTGGTCCCTGTCACAGCGCCAGTGGCATCGGCTGTGCCTGCTATTGGTCCTGTTTATCCGCCAGCCCAAATGGGTGCACAGATGCCAGTGCAGCAGCCACAACCACCACCACAGACATACTTTCCACAGCCTCAGATGCAGCCAGCGGCGCCACAAATGCAACCGCATTCGCAGACCCAGATGCCTGGTAAAATAATGGCACAGCCCCAGATGTACAATCAGCCGCCACCGCCGCCGCCGCAAGTCTACCAGCAACATCCACAACAACAGCAGCAGCAGCAACCGATGCATCACCAGCAACAACCGCCGCTTAATCAATGGCAGCACCAACCACCGCCGGGCAGATTCAACCAAATGCCACCCGTTGGCTATAATCAGGCGCCCAATCCTGGTGACTCGAGCATGTTCCCGAATTTACAGCAGCCGCCGCCTTCGTTTATGCAACAGCCACCGCCGTCGTCTTCGTCGGCTAATCAAATGGATGCTCCATGGTCAAAAGGACCACCGAACAAGGGCACTGATAGAGGCAACATAAATGAAGCATCCGCTTCGCGGCCTCGCTGGGATGGGCCACCGACAGATGTGGGACAGCAACAACAGGGACCAGGGCGCAACAATCGCTGGCAGGGCAATGACTCCGGAAATAACGACAACAACAGCAACGTTAATCAAGGCGCCAATAAGCCCAATCAATTTGCCAACCGACGTAGCTGGCAAAACACGCCCCCTGGCAACAACAGCAACAACAACAACATGAATCGCAGCAATCCATTTAACCCTGCACAGCCAGGCCCCTATGGCGGCGATAATGCTGGCACATCTCGCGGTGGCCCAAACTCTGGAATGGGCCCCGGTTCGGGTAGTTATGATAATGATGCCGCAGGACCGGGACCGGGACCTTGTAATACGGGTAACTTTGGTGGACCGAGTGGCAATTACGGCGGTAACTTTGGCAATAATGGCCCCGGCCAAGGATCAAATGATAATTTTGGCCCTGGTAACTTTGGCAACAACAACGATAACAACAATCGGCGCAGCGGCCGCTGGGAACCAAATCGGCCGCATCAAGGCGGAGGGAACTTTGGCCCTCCGCAGAATAGTAACAATAACTTCAACGACTCCGGCTACAATCGCCCAAATCAGCCTAACTTTAACCAGCAACAACAGGGCAAGCAGAATCAATCGCAACAGCAGCAGCGTGCACCTGACTTGGACGAGGCCAGCTTTGATCAACTGTTCAATCAATGGGAGAAACAATTCGAAGATTGGAAGCGTGCCAATGCCAATCATCCGGATCGCGATGAGTATAGACGATATGAGGAGGAGTTTGAGAAGCAGCGACGCCGCATTGCCGAGCGTCGGGAGCAAATGCGACGCAGACGTCAAATGCAAAACCCACAGCAGCAGCAACAACAACAGCAGCAGCAGCAGCAGCAGCAGCAGCAGCAGCCGCCGGAGCAGCAGCAGCAACAACAAGGGCCACAAACAAATCGACAACAACCACCACCACAATTTTATCAACAAAAACAGACTGGTGGCGCTCGTTATGGCGACTATGAGGAGGGTGAAGGTTATTCTGATGAGGAGAACGTGGACGAGAACCAAGGCCCCGAAATAAAGAAGCAACAAGAGGCGCCTCACGGCTCAGATCATGATGATTCTCATTACTATTCGCCAGAACCAGTGACAATACGCGAAATGAAGAAGCAACAAGAGTCGCCGCACGGCTCAGATCAAGATGATTCTCATTACTATTCGCCAGAACCAGAACGAGAACCACAAACAAAGGACTTAAAGCAGCAGCAACCAGGGCCATTCCCTAGCAAGGAGCACCAAATGCCCCCAAAGACTCCAGCACAGCTTCAAAAATCGTTACCAAAACCAAATCAAGAACCAAATTTGCAACAAACGGCGGCCAGCCAGATTAAATTTTCACAGAAGCCGACGCAGAATGTGGATACAACTCCAGTTGCAAGCAGTACACTTGGCAAGCGTAAAACCGATGTTGTGGCAAGCCCATCGAACCCTGCCAAACAGACCAAGCAGGAGAAGATATTGATAATCTCCCTGGATGATGATGACGATGATGTCGATGAAGGGCCGAAGGACACGGAAGCAGAGTCTGCGGTCGATACGCCCATGAAGAACATATTTAAAAAGAGTGACGGCATACCAGGTCTCGATTTGGTTGCCGACGGAACAGCTGCTGCCCCGGCCGAAGCATCCCAGTCAAAGGGCGCGGATAATAACAAGAAGATACCATCGCTGTTCGATGTGGTAGTTGACAAGCCACTGGAACGCGCCGGCAGCGAGTCGGAAAAAAAGCTGTCGGCTGTCAGCGAAGCACTGCCAGATAATGTGACCAATGCGCTCAAAGATCCCGAGTTTATGAACAACTTGTCGCAGGCCTTGGCCCAGGCGCAGGGTCGTGAACGGGAACAGCAGCAGGAACAGGAACAGAAGTCGAATGAACGCTCTGAGCATGCCAACAACGGCAGCAAAAGCAATAACAGCAACAGCAACGACGGCAATGACGGGCGTGCCCTGTCCTTTGCCGAGTGGCAGCGCAAGAAGAATCACCAGAAAGTTGATGCCCAGGATCCAGGCTCCGTTAACTTGCCGAACGACGGCGCTGCTGGTTGCTTTGGTCCCGGTTCCGGTCCTGGTCCAGCCATCAACGATGGTGGCAATCGCGGCGATTTTGGACCCGATCAAAGACCCCCACATGGCTTTGGCCCGAATGGGCCAATCGGCCCGCCATTTGGACCTGGTGGTGGTGGCCAGGTTATGGGACCGAATTTTATTGATTTTAGTGGCCCAGGCGGACCGAATGGTCCGCCAAATGGACCCAATTTCGGTGGTCCCAATTTTGGACGTCAGGGCTTGGGACCAGGCCGGAGTCCTGGGCCATTTGGCGGCGGGCCTGGACCGTTCGGACGTAATTTTGGTCCCCCCGGACCCAACAATCCCAATTTCAATGGGCCCGGACCAAACTTTAACGATCGTGGACCAAACTTCGGACCCAATTTCCGTGGCAATGGACCTGGTGGCAATGGTCCCGGCCCGGGTCCATTTCGACCAAATTTCTGCGGGCCGAATGGACCTGGACCAGGACCAGGTCCAAACTTCGGCGGTCCCGGGCCATTTGGCGGACCCGGTGGACCGAATTCACCTGTACCCTTTGATCGGAACTTTGGCCCCGGACCCAATTCAAATGATCGCAACTTTGGCCCAGGTCCCAATAATCCAAACGAGCGCAACTTTCGGCCCGGTCCGGGTCCCAATAATATGAATTTCAATGGCCCCAACAACAACTCTTTTAACGATAATCCATTCAGACGCAATGGTGGGCCGCCTGCGCCCAGTTTTGATGATGGACCCGGCTTTGGATCACGTGGCAAAGGACACAAAAACTTTGGACAGCAGAGAAACAACTTCGGCAACGCAGGAAACAACGACAACAACAAGCCATGGGCTGATGGGTATGTGTCATAAACCGTGCTTAATCGTATGTCTCTTTCCCTGTCTCTCTCTCTCTCTCTCTCTCTCTCTTTCTTTCTCTTTCTATTTGCTTTTTTTATTTGTGTCTATATAAAATTAAATGGATTTGATCAAATAACGACCACCAGGGAGAACTCCTGTCAGTCTAAGTTTCCGTCTGAATATCAAGAAAAACAAATGAGAAGCAAAAAAAACATAAACCAATCAGTTTGTCCGTGAACTAGTACCCGAGTGAAAATAAAGTTAAGCTTATCCCAATTCCCGCTCTGACCTGTTGGGATTTTGATTTAGTTAGGAACTTATTCTCTTTGATGCGTTTTAGCATTTAAGTCGGGGTTTGATTATTCCTTTTGCAACAAACCTTGAGCTTGCCAGCCTAATATAAGAGATACGTTTAAGATTCGACCTTAAAACTACTTATTATATCTAGTATCACACGTCTGATACTATCAGGCAACACAATAGATCAATGGGCATACGGGTTAGCTCGACTTCCGCATCGAGCGGGTCCTGCATACTCTAATCAAACCTTCAAATATATGATTGATAATATAATATATCATATCTAGTTATATTGACTTCATAAGTAATACGAGCAGATAGTCTATAAATGTACATAAAAAAGCTGTCCGATTGTTTCCATGTTTCCAAGTTTTTCATCCGATCGACTTCAAACTATTTATTGGAGATGTATTTTATAGTTTCTATACTTCAGGGTTGTATGGGTTACATTTTCGACTGGTGAAATCGGGGTTCCAAAGTTGAATAGGCAACAGTTGAATATTCGTTCAAATGGCTTCAAACTCAAGTTCAATTACATACAAAATGAATGAAATAAGATACGGGTCTCAGCGATCTAAATGGATATATTGCATATATTGTGTATAATAGGTCCTGTTCTCCTAAAATCTTAGAATTTCAAAACTTTTTGTAAAGCTAAGAAAAACATAAACCTCTAACACGTTAGCTCGCAAAATAAAAATAGAAGTCTATGCTCTGGCCAATGTCCGCTTTAAAAAGTCAAACTTATCCTTGTCGAGTCTGAACTGGATTGAAATATACATATATAGATATGTGTGTTCCATGTTTGTGGGTAAAATCTAAAAAATTAGTTAGAATTTAGTTAATAGAATCGAAGTTGCCAAAAACTTAAGGAAAACATTTAGTTGTGCTTTTATATGAGGCATTTCACGCAACGAAGTTTAGTTTAAACTCCTTCTGGATTCTCATTTAAAATGGAAATTTGATATAAAAAAGTAAAGTGTGTTTTCCTTAAAAGGAAATACAAATTTGAGCCGTATTTTGAGATATAAACTAACCGAACTTTACGGCTAAATGCTTGTTGCCCTCTGAAAAAAACTCTTGTCATATTTAATATCCAGCCCGATTTTACTTTGTTTAAACGAATTTTAAATACTATGCAAGTCTTTGTCAATTATTTTGCTTACCTTCCGAATGTTTTTACCTATGTTATTAATCTTCCTCAAAATCCTTAATACGAACTGTGTAAAATATGCGACATAGCTTCTGTAGTTAGTTTAAATAATAAACATTTTGAATGCTAGTGAGAAATCTTAACAATACTGAGCGCTGTTCGATTAAAACCGATTCTCGATCAAGCTAACCAAATGAAATAATTGAGATATATTGCTTCAATCAACTAGACTAGACCGACGACCCGATAATTAATTCCCCAACTGTGCTCTTATACGTTTCTATGTTTGTAGTTTACATGTGCAGGCATTTTGTTGATCTCGTCGTTAATGCTGGAATTTCGATTCCTTACCCGTTTTCTCTTTTTCTCTTCTACTTTTATGCACCCCAAAATATATAAAAATAACATACAAATTAAAATCACAAAAAAATTAAACTTAAACTTACAAAAATATTATAAATATCAACTGGCATTGTTCCGATGTCCCTTGATTCATTCCCAATGGCGCATCAATTCAATGACTGCTACATACAAAATTCTTTCTTAACAAAAAAAACAATATAAAAACATATAAAAAAAAAAAAAAAACACACGTAAAACGCAAATGATATATATTTGTTTAAATTGCGAACTGTCCGTATAGCGGTCGATCCTTCCACGGTGGGGGTGACCCCTCGAACAGGAGCTATAGACACGGGCAGCAGCAGCGCGGACCCAGGTCGAGCTAATTGGAGTAGAAAAGTGCAACCGTTAGATACGTGCCCTTCTTCTTGAATCCTATCCGAACCCATTTTTAAATCTAGATCCTGCGACAAGGCAACAGAGGATTAACAGACACACACACACACAAACACACAAACAAACACACACACATGCATACGTCAAGTGGGCCTTCAATAAATCTCTGAATTTCATTATCAAACTTAACGTCAATATCTCTGCATATGTATATCATCCAAGTAAATGTTCTTAAATCATTTTTAAGTTCTGAAAATTTAGCTTAAATTTGATCAAAATTGAATTCTTCTTATTTGCTTTGTTTTGTTTTCAATGTAAAAACAACGAATTTAGTTGCATTAAATTGAAATGATTTTTGTTATAATACTTTTTTTTTTTATGGGGAATTTGTGAGAGTTTGCATCTTTATGTTTCAAGTTTAGAGAATCGACGACGCAACAGAATCGAAGCTTGGGTCTTGCAAAATATTATGTAATAGCATAAATAATAATAATAATAATAACAATTATATATTCATATACATTTGCACATCTACACGGAGACAAAAAACCAAAATACATGGAATACGATGATGAATAAATGGATTTTAGTATCAAATATAATGGTTGCGTGCATTTCAATATTTAATCAACTAAAGGGGCTCACATACATATACATACATAGATACACGCCAATTTTGTTGTTGTTTTATTCCTGGCATCAACTTAAGTTAACTTTAGAAGTTGTCTGCAATTTCCAATTGTGTTTTATACAGTCCGATATCCCATTCAGGAACGTTCGTCCGCTAGTTTCTAAAACTTTTGGATACTCCTTGTGGGTAGAGAATGTTTGAGAGCAAGTGAGCATATTGGTATTTAGTTCGACTTATGAGTTTATTCTATATAGTGACACGCCCCATAATGAAAGTATATTTGCCCCCAAGAGATGTGCCCCCCATCATGATGTTAAATGCTAAATTTCTAATGTCCAAGACCCCAATATATATAAATATATTTACACAAATTTTATTCATATTTTGATAACAAAAAACCGAAAGCATTTATAAAATTCCCACTCGAAGCATTGATTTAGTCATGTAAGCTTTATACACACACTTATATTTCGAGAGTAAACAAAATTGAACTTCTATTGATATATCTTTATATATATATACAACTTTTAGTTGATAAAGCTATTTTCTCTTAATTTATGCACAATAACACTTGGGTGTAATTGACAAAAAATTTCGGCATACCAAGAGTTATCTTCGGATTGCCGAAGAACAAATATCCCTAAAGCCATAAAGCGTCATGCGATACAATGTAATCTTAGCAACCGAGATTGTCCATGTTTATTAGGCCTAACCCTTGACCTATTGTTGCCGTTGTAACCTTATAATAGAGTTGTCCGTCTTTGGTCAATCTTTGGGTGAGGGTCTGGATATCAGGAAAACTCAACTATGGAACGATGTCAGCTATACGATAATGTGGTCCGATCTGTAGAGAAATATAGAAATTTAATGGGTTCCGAGGTGTCTCTTAAAGATTTGCTTATATTGGGAAAATGTAATAAGACCCTCTGCCAGAATAGAGTGAGGAAAATAAGTCAGGATTCCTTTGTCTGCTTCAAGGAATAAATTGATCAAACAAGAACATATTCTGCCTGTCTGTGCATATTAATAAAATTCCGTTTTGAGAGCCTGTCTGCTTACCTATCTTTGTCATATTATATAAAAAATCAAGCATGCTTTAGATTATCTCGTTTTCTGTGCTTGGAACTTGACATTCATATAAGTAGTAGGTATTTTGGAGCCGTGGAATACGTCTTATGAGAGCCGATTTATAGTATAGAAACAAATGAGAATCTGTGCAAGCTTCGGCGTTGCTGAAGATTTTGGCTTCCTTGCAAATATATACTATAATTTTGTTGTTGCTCAGATCGTGTACCCGATACATAATCAGTCTAAAGGATATGTTCCTTCGGTATGCCGATGATATCCGTTCTATAAATTACCAAAAAAAAAAAGAAAAAGAAAAACATGAAAAATTTTGCACTTGTCCAGAATCTCCTATGCCCTGGACACAGTCCATGGCTTTGTTCCAGGGTCACCGGGCCCCGTCCCGCCCCGCCACGCCCCGTTAATTTGCAGCATGCTTCTTCTGTACACAGTGCCAAGTGAACAAGTTTTTTGTACTCCCAATTTGTCATTCGACCCAACTACCTTGACCTGTTATGTAAATAGCTTGTAGCCAAAATTGCTTGCCCCATGAACATAGCAATATATATGTAAAAGTTTAAGTGTTTCTTTCTGGTTTAATATTAAAAACATAAACCAATTAAAATACAACAAATAAACAACAAAATCGCAAAAAAAAATATGTATACAAAAAAAAAAAACAAACAAAACAAAACATAAAACAATAACAAAATAATTGACAAAAATGTTAAACAATTGATACCAAAAAACCAAACTCGCCACTGCGTCACGCAACGTTGCAGCGCGGAGCACATCGGCAATATCCGTCCCAACGAGCCCGTCTATCGTCCAATCCAAGTGTTTGACTATCAGAACAGCAGCAACACCGCCGCCAAGGTTATTGACTATGGACACAAGTCGGCTGATAGCGTTTCTAATCGTATGAGTATGGGCGGCGGACCAGGCCCGGGCCCTGCACCTCTGCCGGAGTTTAGACCTGGTGTTACATTTGACTATGGACATGCATCGCGCAGTGTATCGTTAACCTCTGGACCAGGCGCGCCACCCATGAATCGCAATCCCAATAATAGTTCTAACAACAGGAAGAAAAACAAAAAGAAGAATAAGAATCGGCAGCGCCTGTTGCAGGAACAGCAGTCGCAACAGCTGCCACAAAATGAGCAGTCATTAATGCTGCCCGGCGACGAGGTAAGTAGCTCGCTAACCGCGCTGCAACTTGGCCTAAGGGATAAACAAATGTCTCTACTATATATCCAATTAGTTGAATGACCAACAGCGGGCAGCTGATAAATCAGATGATCTCGAGGACATATCCGATGGCGAGGAGTAAGTTTCATTGATTTCTTAATATACCCTGTTTGCTAATCATAAACCATAATCCATAAGTAATCTGGCGGATGCATCGCAATCGGAATCACCGCCGCCGCCTCCAAAGTTCAATAAGCAGCTAAATCAAATACAACAACAGCAACATCAGCAACATCAGCAACATCAGCAGCAGGAGCAGCAGGAGCAGCCACGCAAAGCCTTTCCGGCCAATCCGCAGCGTCGCATGCTGGGCGATCCGCCAGCCGCACTGTTTCCCTCAACCGCAGCGGCTAATCAACAGATACCCGAGCAGACAGATGCGCTTCACCTGGAGATGAGCGTACCCACTAATGAGAACCGCAATACAATATCCATTGACGAGGTGCTTCTACCGCCGGGTCGCCTATCACGTCCCAAGCGCATTTGTATAATATTACGCGGACCGCCAGGCTGCGGCAAGTCCTATGTGGCACGTTTAATCAAAGATAAGGAAGTGGAAATGGGCGGTGCCAGTCCCCGCATACTCAGCGTCGATGATTATTTTATAATTGAGAATGACTATGAGGAGAAGTGTCCCAAGTCTGGCAAAAAGGTGAGCGCGGCCCAGCAGATGAATATGAATATAAATGCTTTTCTTAAAAAACATATACATTTACTATTGCAGATACCGAAAAAGGAGCTACTCTATGAGTATGATGATGCTATGGAAGATACTTATATGCAATATTTGATTAAATCGTATAAGAAGACGCTAAGCGATAATCTCTACGATTTTATAATTGTCGACTGCAACAACAACTCTCTGCGTACACTCAACGAGTTCTACTGTCATGCCAAAGACTCCAATTTTGTGGTACGCAGCCCTTTCTCTTTCTCTCTGTCCATACGTCTCTTCTCTTTCCCTCTCTATCAAGCTGTCTCGCTCAATTTGATGCTGATTGAACCCTTTATTTTTTCTGCCGACAGCCCTACATAGTTGACATGCACTGTGATGTGGAGACGTGCTTGGGCCGCAACAGTCATCAACGCAGCGAAGAAGACATACGTGCTGTTCTAGACAATTGGTGTACAACGCCATTGCACTACATTAAGCTGGATGTGTCGTCTCTGCTGGAGAATGTCGTTGAAATGGAAGATGTTGAGAATATGGCAACGGTAACTATGCTTTAATGCAGCCCATGGTCCAACCACGTGACTCACGGCCACTGCTCCAGGCACAAAGGCGCTTAAGGCATTTCACTGCCTAGGCACAGTCCATTTGGCTGGCCGTCAGTGATTATGAGTGTGTGTTTGTGTGTGAGTAAGTGTGTGTGTGTCAGTGTGGCATTGGGGCTGACAGTGTGTATGACACTGACGGTGCGAGGCTGTGCACACTGCATAGTTTATAATACTTTATAATTATATAGTTTAATTATATATTCGAACAGCTGTAGTTTCTAAGCACGAGTATAATTTAGTTGGCAATGCCATACTTAAGCAACTGTCCATGACAACTCTCTAATCTAAGCATCTCTCAATTACTTAACTTTATTTGCGAATGCATTGTATGTGCTACTCCTATATACATGTATTTATATCTCAGCAATATATATATGCATATGTGTGTATAGTATATGTATATATTGCAAAAATACGTACATAAATTCTGTTGTCCATACAAATTTATGTAGCTGTATATTTTGAATATATGCTTATACACGGCAACACAATTATCAAACTGTACATCTGATCAATTATACAATTAGCATTGCGTTGTACCAATATATCAATCGAATCAAATTTGATCGAATTGCTCGAATTGCAAATAATATGAATTAAGTACCTAAGTAAATGGCAAAAGAAACGCTGGTCAAGCAAACCCCTGTTGATTTATTGCGGCTTGTTCATTTCAGGATGATAATGCCAATGGTGAGGAGGCCAATGCCGAGGAGGCTGCCACCGTTGCCGCTGACGCCGCCGAGGATGAGGACAGCAACAGCGCCGATGCGGCCAACGATGTAAGTCTCAGACCATTCATCAATATAATGGTTTAGTTTGCACCATTGTGGCCATAATCTTCTTCTTTTGGGGCCTGTGCTGTCTGTGTGCTGTGCATGTTTGTGTATTACATTTGCTGATACAAATCTCAATGATCTTTTATTGTACAATTTTTTTTTGACATGTGTGTTGGTTGTGTATAGTGCGGCTTTCTGAAAAGCAAGTGGGAAAATGATACCACGGAGGAAAATCTGGGTAAGTGCCGTCAAGTTTAAAGCAGCCAGTGTCCACTCATGCCTAATATCCGTCAAATTCTTTCAGCACGTCTCGATGGCACAAAGCGGCTAATGCAAAAGCGCAAGACCGCAAGCATGGCCGACTATTTGCAATTGGATGAATGGGAACCGCCCACTGTTAGTGCTGATGGCAAGAAACGCGTAAGTACATCAAATCCTACTATACTATATAAATTTTACTCAAATTATTACAAATGTTTTAGGTGCGTTGGGCGGACATTGAGGAGAAGCGTGCCCAGAAAAAGATGCGGGCAATTGGCTTTGTTGTTGGGCAGACCGATTGGAAACGGATGATGGATCCCAATGCTGGAAATCGTGCGCTCAACAAAACTAAGTATATAGAGCGCGTGAACAAACGGCGTTAATAATCAAGATCTACCAATCGATGACGAGACAGCAAGACCGTACTTTCGCCCTATTGACACACGTACACAAATATAAACGGATATGCTTATAAACACAAGCCACCTCATCTAACTTGGCTTTTATTTTATAATTTATAGTTAATAGTAAATTATATACCAGTTGGCTAACCTTTGTTGGTAACAAAATGCTCGCATGCATCTAAATGCCTGGCATTTCGGCATTGGCGTGTCGCAGCTAACAGTGTAAAGCAAACAACCTAATCAAATACCATTTCCAATACAATATGTGCTCAATTTCCAGAACAGAATGCATGACTTGTATAGCATATACTATATGTGCTATAGTTAGTTATTATAAATACGTAAACTAGGTCAGCGTTTAGTTTTGTATGCATTTACGACCCAAGTAGCAGTTGGTTAATATTTAGAATTTGTATTATTTTTTTTATAGAAAACTCATTTTTGTTTTTCAAAGAACATGCATCCATACAACTTTGCAGTAACAGCTGCAAACGTTTTTTAAAAACACACAGAACCTTAGCAAAGAGAACATAATAAATATTTATATATTTATATCTTGAAATATACGTTTTAAAAATATATATCAAACTATATATGTACAGTATAGTAAATGCTGACGCATTTCAAAGCGGAGTATATGCGTATTTTAACCAGATTTAAAATTCAATTTCGAGTAACATTTTCGAAAAGTAAATTCTTTGCTGCGTGTATTACTTATATGAAATATATTTTAATTATTAGCATATAAATAGATGAATTAGTCTACTGACATAATGCAATTAAAGTGCAACCTTATAAAAGCAAAAAAAAAAATTTAAAAATCAAATAACTATAGTTTTATCGTTGGGGTTTTCACAAATAACTTCCTTTGCAGACTTACCTACAGCAAAGCCCATTTAGAGCTTTGCGAGGACTTGGGCAAGTAATATCGCGACAAAGCAGATTCAGAAGTATTGGACAATTTTTACCTCGATCAAGAATAATCAAATATCTTTATTTCAAATGGTGCAATATTTCATAAATTAATGCTATCAAGAATTTCGTGCTCAGTTTAAATTAAATATAAATATGAAGTACGTTGAATATCGAGAAGAAGATAAACAAAGCAATTTGGAAGTTGAATAATTTTCAACAAAAACGAAACGATCGTAAGACTGATAAGTTATATAACTTGATTAAGAATAACTCATATGTTTATTAAAACGTTTTATACAGAATTTGAACGTGATTTCATTTAATTTAACAGCCTTTAATCACGTTTAAAAATGGCTTTTCAAGCCATAGTTAACATGTTATTGAAAGTGTTCGAAGTGTTTTTTAACACAGTATAAACTGTTTTGAACTAATACTACCTACCACCTTAAAGGCCCAGCTTATACTCATGGCCAACATATTATATGTCATTATCCGTATGTATAATATGCTATCCAATCACTTATACACATATCACATATATCTATGATCTAATGCATAGAATACGTTTACAAATCTTTGCCAAGCTGGTATAAGCCGTACTTGAAGATTGATTTCATTACAGAATCATACAATTTTAGAATTTCGGCTGTAATCTCTATATATAAAACTGTTTGTCCTGACTGACTGACTGACTGACTGCCTGATTGGTGATCAACGCACAGCCCAAACCGTAAGAGCTAGGAAGCTGAAATTTTCATTGTAGTTACCTTATGTGATGTAGGTGCACGTTAAGACGGGGTTTCGGGAAATTCCACTCGCAAGTGTGGAAAAATCGCGAAAAACGTTTGTATGTAACTTTTTTGTTTACCATCCGATCGGCCCCAAACTTATTTTCAAAGATCTTTGTTCAAATTCATTTGAGGGGTGTTTCGCACTTTTCGGAAAACCCATTCCTTCTTGGTGGAAATGGAGGTCAAAGATTTGGTGGGTGACGTTTCGCGCTCAAATTCATTTCCAGTGATCTATATGAAAAATCATTTGAGACGTGTTTCTCACTTTTCGCAGAATTCAAACTTCTTCGGGGCGAATGCGATTTAAAGATTTTTTGGGCGAAGTTTTAAGTTATGTCCGATTTGTTCTAAGCTTATTTTCAAAGCTCTCCATAAGAACTTAATGAATACGTATTTCAGCGAATTGGGAAATTCCACCCGCAACAGTAGTAAATTGACGGAAAACGGTTGTATGAAAGTTTTTGTTTACCATCCGATCGGCCCCAAACTCATTTTCAAAGATCTATGTTCAAATTCATTTGAGGGGTGTTTCACAATTTTTGAAAAATCCATCCCTCCTTGGTGCAAATGGGGGTCGAATATTTGGTGGATGACGTTTTGTGTTCAAATTTATTTCCAAAGATCTATAAGAAAAACCATTAGAGACGTGTTTCACATTTCTCGCAAAATCTAAACTCCTTCGGTGGAAAATGCATTTTAAGATTTTTTTTGGTGAATTTTAAGAGTTTTCCGATTTGCACAAAAGTTGTTTGATTCCCGTCCGATCAGTTTCAAAATCATTTTCAACGCTTTTTTGATTTTATTACATACGTGCCACGGGCAAGGCCGGGTTATACCCGCTAGTACTTATATAAACACCTTTTTTTTTTATTGTGTTTGTCAATCATATTAACGGGATTGAACATTTTGAATTTGATTTTTGAAGATCTGTTAAGATGCATTTTCGGATAAGAAAAAAACCCATTGAACATGGTAAAGAAGGGTAGTTGGTTAATATTTAGAATTTGTATTACCATGGTTCAGACTGGTACATCCAGTACTGTATAAGGGTCTATTAAGCTGTAAATGATCTTAGCTATTTACACATCACTAGCTTGACAGTGTTGAGCAGAGTTGAGAAAAGACGGAAGTGTTTTGTGAATGGGCTCTGGTACAGTAAAAAATAAAAGACTTATGTACATGTAATATACAGAAGAACGCACCGTCGGCTCCATATGATATATTCAATTATATATACTGTTCTATATCTAAGCATATATCCAAATTGATATAGTCCAAATATATGTATAGCATCAATAGTCGAGTCGATTTAGTCAAGGTCATGGACATGTCACTCTGCCTAGCCGTACGTCGGTGTCTGTTTGTCTGTCCGTCTCAGGGACCATAACATCTAGAGTCTTACATTTGAAACTTCATTGTGTAATCAAGTAAATTCTTCGAAATCGATAAGTATCGGTTTTCAGATTAGTCTTTCTGAGCAGCTTATCCTCATATCAAATTTGCCATTAAAGCTCTCGTGTAGTTTACACACTGCGTTTCTCACAGTGGCAGAAGCACAACCGCGTGTGTGTGTGTTTTTGTGAACGTTTGTGCGGAAAGAACTTCGAATCTTGGCTAGAAACTGTCTGCATAGTGAAAATAAATAATAACGTCAAGAACTGGGACTAGAAATGATCGAGTTCGCCTGAAAGTTAGGGAGCTGCAAAATTTTCTGGCATGGATCGAGCCACGCGATGTTTGCGAATTTCCACAGTCACAAAAAAAACAACAACAGCAGCAGATGTTTTGGCAACTAAGGCCAGGCAATCGCCCCAGCAGCACCTCCACACCCCCCGCCACAATCACTCACACACACACACATACAGGGGCGCACGTCCATAGCGTAGCTAGCGGCATGCGCGTGAGTGTCAAAAAGGAGTGCTGCCCATAGGACACTAGGCACCCATACATGCTCACATACACACGCTCACATTCACATGCTCACATTCGCATTCGCATTCGGATTCGCATTTTGGCGATGGGTCTCTAGGCCGAAGCTAAAGTCGCGGCCACGAGGCTAAGCAGCCAGCAGTTTAGTCGAGCAACGTAACTCGAAAGCAACGGACGCCCGTGCCGCGCAGCCACAAACAACAACACGAGCAACAGCAATAGCAACAACTGAAACAGCATTAATAATAAAAACAATAACAACAAATATACATATTAACAACCATAGAGTCCCGTTGTAAAGCACAAGTTGAACGCACTGAAAGGCCAAAAGCAACAAAAACGTTTATTTCTTCCTTTACGTTTTCGTTGTTGTTTGTTTGTTTCTTTGTTTTTTTTTTTGTTTTGTCATTTGTTTAATTGATTCAAAGCAATTTTTTTTTGTATATGTGTGTGTGTGTCTGTTGCTGAATGTTGAATTCGCCCAGTGGCGAAGTGGAAGTTACGTCAAAAGGCGCGACAACAACTACAACAACTGAAACGGAAACAGAAACAACAGCAAGCGACGCGCCAAGCCGTGTGTCAGCCTTTGGCGCGTCTTCCTCTGCCCTGCCGCTGCCCCCGCTGTTGGCCCGAGTTACCGTTTGTTGTATTTGTTTTTGTTATTTTTGCTTTCACTTTTTGTTTTCTATTTATTTTATTACCGATTGCTGATTTTCAGCCGGCAACGCGGCTCGTGCACGGACGCTTATGTAAAGTGTAATATGGAAGCATGTCTTCCACATCCAGCTCCGTGCTAGCGCTGTCATCGTTCAATTTATTATTTTTCACCCAAGGTAAGGATAAACGGAATAATACGCTCAACTTGCCTGTCGCATCTTTATATAATCTGCAGCAGAAAGAACGATTATCTTCGGCCACGCCAAGCATTCAATACCCTTGCAGACCACATATATGACCCAGAAGGTTGTTCATCCAAATACATTGATTTCCAAGGATTCTTCCTTTATATGACATATAGGAGCTGATTTGCTTATTAGAAAGTTGGAAGTCAAGTTTGAAATACAAAATCATCTGAAATCTTTATTTTCGACCAATCGTTCCTATCGGCAAAATATGATATATTCGTTAGTTATTAATAAAATTTCAGATATTTTAAATAAAATAAGCTTTTCATAGCTTTTCGACCGATCATTTCTATGGCAGCTATATTATATAGTGGTCCGATGTTGACAAGATTTTGCATGTATGTAGGGAGCAATTTTGCTTAAGATATCCTGATAAATAAACAAGTATTTTCATATAAGTACTTAATTTTCTACCGATTGTTCCTATGGTAGCCAAAAGATATAGTGGTCCGATATTGATATGCATATGTGTAGGGAGAATAGTAATACTTGATTTGAGTTTCGACCGATCATTCCTATGTCAGCTATATAATATAGCAGTTCGATGTTAATAAGATTGATAAGATCCCGAGTCTGGCCGAGATATCTTGTAAAACAAATAAGTTATATACTAGCACTTAAATTTGGACCTATTGTTCCTATGATAGCTTTATAATGCAGTGATCCGGTTGTTCAGATTCCGATATATGTACAGTCTGCAATAAAAAGACGAAGTTATGCAAAGTTGCAGACGGGCAGATATCGACTTGTCTGTTGATACTGATCAAGAATATATAGACTCTATACCCGCTTCTATGTGTAACACACTTCTCGAGTATATTGTAATGCCATCTGCAAGGCAAAACCCAAATAAAGAGTGTTGAAAAATTACCAATGCTGGCAAATCGATCAAATATTTCATGGAAATATCGCATTTGTTGCTCATACGCCGTGTAGGCCGTGCAAGCAGCAGTTACCTCTGCCATAGTTACGCCTCCCTGCCTATGCACCTGGCAACACATGCCGCTGCCTATGCCTGACTACATATCAACGGCTTTCATAATTAATAATCAGCTTTGGGTTTTGGCCAAAAGGCCCAAGGGCTCGCTCAACACACGGCTTTCTGTGTAGAACTGACCCAATTTGGCTGCGATTCGGCCGAAGCACTCACAGAGTCCCATTCCGATGCGCCTTGGGAGTTGTTTATCTTGTTCAGCTTGACAAGTAATAAAGACAGAGAAAGAGAGAAAAACAAGGCTATAAATATCCTGCCTGCAAATGTGACCTATTAATTATTATGCCGTTTCCATTAATTAAGTTGCAAAGAAGTGACCTCTGCATATTTATTTTGGGATTCAACACTTATCATAATCACAAAAATGGGCTTAATTAAACCGAAATTGCCAAATACTCGACTGGTAAATACCTTGTACACAACTCTACGAAATATGCAAAGAATTGAGAGATTTGGCGAAATTCACTTCAACTGCCGAAAAATAGGTGGAAATATAAGTTGGAATTTCCTAGAATAACAGTTTAGCTAGGCGTAGTAGCTAGGCAATGTCAGCTTATATATACATTTATATTTTATAATATTTAAATATAACTAACATGGAGAGATTTGCATCTCAACGTGAACATCCTATGATGGTATTATATAAAAGACGCTCTCATTTGGTGGAGTTGCGTATTGATATAAGTTTATTTATGATATATTTTTATCCAATCGAATCGTTAACTATGTTATGATAAAATATATTTTAAGACGTGGTTTTCTAAGTCTTGAAATTGATAGAAGCCCAAGTCGGATAAATAGCCTGTTTGGCTTCTCATACATATATTTACCCATAGTTGGGTCTTAGACTTTAGGGTATACTCCCGTCGAGCATTTTGTAAAGAATTGGTGTCCTTTTTATTGCAATTTGTTGCGAATTAAGTAACTGTGAGTTGCATATTGATTTTTCCTTAAGTTGCTTCGACTTCTGTTGAGAAACTAACCCATGAGTTTTGCTTTTATTAATAGGCTACGGTTGAAACATGCGCGTATTATCGCAGTTGTTTTCTTCTTCTGCCATTTAACTTGGCGTTAAATTAACATCAATTTGATGGCATTGCGCGGGCTTTTGTTATTGCTGTTGGGCAATAAATCTGGGTCGACTACTCCTAAGTCCAGCTAAATAAACTGTGCACCGTAATCCTACCCAGCCGAGGACCCGGAACCGGACCCGCACCCGAACCCGAACCCGGACCCGGACCCAGAGGCCATTTGTTTTACTCGAAGCTACAGCTCGATTTGCATGCAAATTGCGTATAAATCCTTGAGTCGTTCTGCTGTTCCTTTGGCCCTTTGGTCCCTCTTGTTGACGTAGCTGTTGGCCCTGCATTGAATCGCGAATCGCGTGCCCGAGCAACTGGGCGTTGGGGCGTGGCAGCACGACAGCTGACGTCCCACAAATCTTCTGCAATTGCTGCCCCAAACGTGGCACAACTTATTTCCTTCATTCCTTTTTTTTTTTTATTATCGCTTTAGTCCTGTTCGCGGTCATCTAATAGCCGCAGCGTTTACTTTTAATTAAAAAGTTCCTTGCCCAGCCAAGAATGAATAAATGAAGAATCGCGCCAACGCGAACAGGATGAGTGCGCTCCCATTCAATTTCGCCAGCATTTTCAATGTTTACGTTTGTCTTGGAACTTTGGCAGCTACTGCCGCATCCTTAATTAGTGTGCATACGACCTGGCCGCAGCCCCTGTTTTAGCCCAATGACAGTTAATGGATGGTAGATAGTGAAAGTAAACGCAAGAGCAACAAAAACCCAAATTATATTCAGTTTTACATTCTGTGTGTTGTTTTGTCTCGGTTTTTTACTTAAATGCAATAGATGGGCTGGCCAAGTTTAAACGCTATTGGGCGGGCTCAATACTAGTTCAGAGTCTATCTACATTTGCCTTCTAATTGCAAGCTTTATTTACGTGGATTCTATCCATAAATCGCAAAAGGGATTTGAATTGAAAGGGTTCAATTTTTATTTTAAACCAAAACTTTAAGCTGATTTGATTGGCAGAACAGCTTTCCAAAAACAACTTAATGGAATCTTTAAAAAAAAGGGTGTTGGTTCAAACCCATATTTTTCTTTTGCTTGTTCATAATATTATCTTAAGGCTGAGACATTGCGCTAATAATAAGTTTAGTATTTGAAATTTTTAAAGTAATTTCAATAAATAAAATAAATGAAAATATTTAATTTATAATAATTTGAATTATTGTATTTCAAAATGCGCTGAAAAGCTTGGATAGCCGAAAATATTTGTTTGTCATGATTGTTATATGAGACAAATATAAAGGTATTAAATCCAGAATGAAAGGTAGAAAGGATAGAAGAGATAGAATTCTGCACGCTCGCATTTGACGCATTCAAAAACTTTATAAAGACAGCAGAACCAAGAACGTTTAATTCAAATATATACTTTCCAGATTTAGGGTATCATCGCATATATAATTGAAAAATGCACTAACGAAGCTAAGAAATGCTAACAAACCCTTAAGGATTATATGTATTTAAAGTGTACTATAACTATTTGTGAGAGCCTTAGTTTATCTTAAACTACCTTTCAAATTTTGCAAGATACTATGATAGACATGGTTGCAGAACAAGTAGTTAAGTTACGTTTCCGATTGCCTAATAAACTTTAAAGCAGACCATTTGCAACCCTTTATGTGATCAACTCAGTTCTCTGGATCTGTGCCACACATTTGTGCTATGATGGCAGATATCCGGCATCCTGTGCTGCGCGTGTGACATTATATGTTGGCTGGTTATTATGCTCATCCGATTCATATTTATGCATGAACTTGGCTTTTGTCTGGCTGGAAGCAACAATTGCATGCAGCACATAAGAGAGCAAACTGCCAGAGCCAGAGGCAGTTGCCCCATCACACAGATCGGGCATTTGCGCGAATCCAGCTGTTAGAAAGCCATTGTGTGGTTGAATGCCAGCTGCCTGCTGCCTGCCTAGTTGGGTGGCTGAGGTGGTTGCATGCCTCGTGGATGTTGCCTCTGTTTCGTTAGCTGTCAATGGGTTTTGTGGCTTGGTTGTGGCTATGTTGACTTCTTTGTTGACGTGTTCTTATGCCGTCCCCAGCCACACATGGCCGCCATTTCAAAGGGGGGCATGCAACAAAACAAAGTGCAATTAGCTCTTAACCCGCCCCCAACAACAACAATACGAGAACAGGCTACAATTTGAGCCTGGCTATTTTTGTGGCAGCCACTAGAGCCAAATTTCAATGCCAAACGCAAAAGGTTAGATGTCAAATATCAAGCACTCTTTGTTCTTTACATGAACACACAAACTCACACACGCACACACTCACACCACACACACCACACACACGCAGTTGGCGACTCACATGCCAATGGGCTTATGATATTGCATTGATTTTCTTTTCAATGGCATTGAGTGGGCGCAAGGTTAAGACTTCATCGTCTTGAGGGTATATTTATAGCTGTTGTTTTTATAGGCTATACCCATTGAAAGCAAGTAAAAGGGGCATTGTAAGCTTGTGCCTATGTATGTAACAGACAGAAGGAGGCATATTTGGTATCAGAAGGTCCTTCTGTTTAATAGCCAAGTGCAAAAACTCCCTCCGCAGATCAAGGTGCAAATGTTAAATAAAAAACTTCGTCTTGGGCTTCAGCTGGTTACAGGGTACCTTTTAGTCGGGTGCAGCTTGTCAATTAACTTCACCTGGCTCGGTAGAATTGAACATGACGTAATTAAACGTCGCCTTTCTATGCAATTCTCATGACTTCAACTACATCTCACAGATTTTAACGTTCTTATAGTCAAATTTCCCTTGTCTCTTACATTTTCTCGCCACATCTCAGTCTCGCTTTCTTAAGCTCCCTCTCTCTATATCACTTGACTTTGTAAAAAATCTCAATATAACAGACACAATAACATTACGCATACGCCCCATGCAACCGTCCAATATAACAGGCACAATAACATTACGCATACGCCCCGTACACCAGGCTGAGGAACATTTGTTTAGTTAACTTGCGGCGACAACAAAATTAAGCGTTAAATGAGAATTAATGTTTGTCCCCTGTCGCTAACGAGGGATGGAGCCTCGCCAACCCTTTCTCCAACCCTCATAACTGCTGCAGTTGCTCCGCGTCTGGTGATTTGGCATCCTGACAGCGTACCGCTGTGGTGCCGGATTAGCTGCTGTCGTGACCTCGTTGCCGCCGGCGACTGTGCAACTGCAACTAATTATGAATTTTAATTAATTCTGCCATTTTGCTGCTTCGCTGCTTTGTTGACGGGGCCCAGAGCGAGTGCGAGAGAGAGAGAGAGAGAGAGAAAGTGCCTAGCAGCTGTGTTTTTATTGCTATTGTTATTGTTCGTTCTGTTGCCGAGTTGGCATTGTTGTGGGCAACAACAGAATCAGTGCCGGGCATCTGCCAAATTGCCTCAATTTTTGTAGTTGGTGCATTTCTGGCATCAAGTCAGTTACTTTTTCAAATGCCCTTTGGACAAGCGGGTCAACAAAAATCTTAAATCGAAAACAATTCTAAGATCGTTTACGATTTCGTTTGCCTTGCGTTTATTTTGAGAGCAATTACGACAGAAAGAAAACATTCTGGTCTGAACAATTTGAGTACCAAAGCATTTTTATACAAATTCAAAATGCTCGTTTGCCTTTAAAATAATAATGTTTGTTTATTTTACGCTGCTATCGAAAACTTTGCATACCCTGCACTCGTGCGAATGGGCCAAAAAGGGTATAAGTCATGGCAAGCAAAGTAAACAAATGTTTTTGGTTCGCTCCTGATCTTGGTTCGAGTCAACTTTTTTCTTTCTTTTAGCATCACAAATAAAATATTTAATATTTACTCACTTGGGAATCTTTGAATTCCCTTCAAGACTAGTTTCTACTTGTCTACAGGGTATCTTGTAGTGCCCACTCGACCGGGTCACTCTCGTGCGCTATAAATGCAAAATGCAAAGAAACAACGAATGCAATTGAGATGAGTCCAGGCGGAAAGCCAAACAACCCAAATGTTCTGTCAATTGGTTAACAACATTGTGGCCAACAAATGCAACTGGACTCTCTGAGCCCAAGAGCCGTGGAAAAACATTGAAACGACTGGGACGTGACCGTGCCGAAGTTTTCATTGAATTCCAACGAAAGCCAAATGAAAAAACAAAAATATTACAAAAATAGCGAAAAAGAAAACATTTCGATTGCGCTTTCACGTTATGAGCAGAGCACACAAAAGCCTTCGCCCAGCCGAGCTGCAAAATACCCTTCACTTTGCCAGAGAGAGAAACTTTGATAATAGTATTAAGTGACGTTTAAACTTTTATCATAATTTTAATTGGGTAATAGTTACAAAACAATCAAAGTTTTGAATAGCTCTGGCAACTCTGGGTTTCGAACGTGGATCCCCCTTGTTCAATGCTCGCACAGGGTATGCTGAGAGCAAAACATTTCATAAATAACTTTTTGACTTTGGCCGGCTTTGGGTCATGATTAAACGCTTGAGTACATGTTGTTTCTACGTTGTTTCTTTGAGCTCGCCCTTGCATGTGCATAGTGCTGCCATTTGGCTATTTCATAGCTAGTTTTGGCTTTTAGATCGTCAAAATATGGGTAAATTCAACAAAATCTCTGTTTAAAATAAAATAAATTATAAAAAAATATTAATTATGATAAAACTTAAAATAAATATTATTTTTATACAATGTTGATAATACCAGCAGATCACAATTTCATAGTTTTTTTATTATTATATATTTTATTTTCATTTTATTTTCATACATATTAATGATACCCTCTAAAGATATATAACCATATATTGCCTCCCACTTTCTGTTCAATTCAACATTATATTAACATATCGAATAAGTATATCATATATGAGCAACTAGAGAATTAGCTAGATATTCCACCCATTTGCTGAGTTTTAAATAGACCGAATTGAACTTAGTTCGATTTCTATAAAGTTCTGGGCTAGCCCGTTGAAATCAATTAAGTGACGTCAGCCGCACGGGCCGATATAAAGTTTCCATTGCATACTTTCAAGCGCCGCATAACAATACATTGCATAATGGCATGTGTGTGTGTGAGTGTGTATGTGTGTGAATGGGTGTGTCACCCTTTTTGCTTTAACCAACTGCAGCGGAGCAGGAGTTGCTCTTATCTGGCGCTAAGCCTGATATCCCGACTCGGACCCAGCTTGACACAAGTTTCATTTGGGCGCGTGTGTGTGTGTGTGCGCATCTGTGTGTGTTTGTTGGTGTGTGTTTGCCCTTTCGCCCCTATCTGGGTGCATATGCATATCAAACATTTCAAAGTTCTTATTACTATGCAGATCAAACTCGTATCTGTTCGTTGTCTGTGCGCTGCTTTATCAACATTATGTTTGCCAGGCACAACTGACTGAATGATTGAGCGACTGACTAATTGATTGAACGAACTTTCAATCATTAGAACAGCAGCCACATTTGCCCGACTGATTCTAAATACACTCCAAGAAAAACAAATGTACTCTATATAAGTTGAATTAAAGAATACAAGAACCTCTTTTAGGAATTTGTTAAACATTTCTCCCTGTTATTTCCTACTATGTTTAACGTGGACTATTTTGCTGAGTGCTGCATTTTTCTATTTTGTGTTTATTTTAATAAACATAAAATTTTTGGTACGTGTGCAGTCTTCCTTAGTTAAATGATGCATGCTGATATGTCCTTTTCCCACAGTCCTTTTACTGTGTGGGCTAATAAAACCACATACACACACACACACGTACACACACACACCCACAGGGCGTAGCCTGGCATTTGTCAATTGCTTTGAATGCCCAGAGACAGAGACCTGGAAACGTGACTGAAATGTACTCGAAATGACGAGCTCTGACTGTGACAATTGTGGCTGGCAAAACTATGCGTAACTCAGTTATTTTCTTGCTTTGCATTTCGATTTAAAGCTCTGCAAACTGACGGCCGTAAAAGATTTAGCTTAAGAATCAAATCTGCTGAAGACAGTTTAGTTTACCAAAATCGGACACTCAATTTTATAGTTTTCAATTTAAATCCCAGCAATTCTGCCTTTGGGTGCGATTAAAGCTGGTTTTGCTCATCCTCGAACCAAGGCGTTGGTTCAAACCTCAGTTTCACATATATTTTCCACTTTTAAATGAAAGAATTGCATTTTTAATTAACAATTGCCCGTTGTGCTGAAAATACTGCAAGCCTTGCGTGTTTTTTTAAACAAGATATGGGCTAAAATGTGATCTGTACCCAAAATTGAGTCTAACTCATAAGTTCTTTAATTTGATTTGGTTTTGGTTCGGCCTTCGGTTCGTCTGCCAACGATTTTTGCTTAAGAAATAAATTGGGTTCGAACCGGCTTGTGGAGCTTGCTTAAATCTAATTGGGCTTTAAATGTAATCTGATAAAGCATAATTAAATAAAATGTGATGGATTTTTATATGCTCTACCCAAAAGCGATAAAGAATAAACAAACCGCTTTTTTCAATGTCCATCCGTTCGTCAGATAAAGTTCTACAATCTTTTTGTTGCTGCTGTCCGCTGGGAATGCCTGGTTGACCATACTGACCATGTTTTTGTTTTGTTGTTTCTGTTAATCGATTTGGGCGATTCAATGTGTAAAATGACATAATGTCCCAATTGACAAAGTGCCGCAGCAGGCAACATTTTTTCTGTAATCGCTTGAAATGTTTTATCCAGTTGTCAATTTTTGCGAGCCTTGGGCAGCTGCCCATATCTATACGAATATGCGAGTTTATTTATTTTAAATCGTCTTTTGTTTTCAATTAATTTAAACTTTGACAGCTGTCAAACAAATTGCATGGCCTGCATTCGTTGTGTATTTGAAATCCCAAGAGAATTCAAATCCCAAGCTACAAAACATTACATTATTGTTTCTAATAATTTTTGTTTGTTTATTGCTTTTACTTAATTAGTTGTTTAAAATATAGACTGCAGATATTTGCACATTTGGCGTTTATTTATTTTGCTGCCAAAGTATATTAGAACTGTGGAATATCTGAATATTATATATATTTATGTGTATATATACATATATATATTAGTCCACTATATATGAACAATTAACTTGTTTAAAATATAAATAATTTAATATATAATAAATTGAAGTGACGAACCAAACCTTGGGCTTACGTATATATGAAACGAGCTTTACAAATCGAACCCTTAAGGCCAGGCCTTGTTTTGAACCTAAACCGAATCATGATAACTTTCGTTGGCTTCCCAGCCTTGACTTTAATAAAGCTTTACGTTTACATAGACATTAGGGGCATTACCTGCCTGCAAATACTTCTGACGACAAATCGAAAATCCCGTCTAAAGTTGCAACTGAAGTAAGCCAAATCGGGTTCCGGCATCTGCGAATTCATATTAGCTGCTCTGCTGCTTGGTGAGCTGCACGAACTGGAGGAAGGTGACCAGCGTGTTGAGTATGAATAGAAACATCTGCAAGCAGTGAAGTACAGTGAACTCTGGTGAACAGACAGCCAAGGCTTAAGCTGTGGCCTACCCCAGCCATGGTCTTCAGACTCAGATGGTACATGCCGCAGACATCGAACTGCACGGAATTCTGCATAATCTGCAGAGAGAATTCATCGGTTTGGGTGCGTGTGAGTCCGGGTCTCGTTGCCGTCTCCTGGCGCCAAGCGCCGCTGATCACGACCAAAAGCTGCTGCGACTGCGGGCAGAGCAGATGCAGAGTTTATATTGGGTATGATTATGATTATGGCTAGACAGGAAACTTACGCGCTTGGCACACTTATCGCAGACGGCGCACAGGGTACAGATCTTGATCAGCGTGGGCAGCACCACATATATGGTCTGCCAGAGCAGCAGCCAGCTGAGATTCATGTTGGTCAGCTGCCAGAGTATAATATAGGCATAGCACACCACAATAAAGTCGCCAATGCAGAGCACGTTCATCATCAGCACGGAGAGCCCATAGAGGCGGGAGAGCTGGTGCGCCAGGCGCACAATATGCGCATATCTGGCACGCAGCTCCACACTGGAGCCTCGTCCCCTCACCAGCTGCTGCTCCAGTGCCAGCAGCTGCCCATCCAGCCGGACAACGAGCAGTGCCATCTGCAGATAACGTGCCCGAACCGCCTGCGTGGTGTAGAAGTAGCGCAAGTTGGGCAGCAGCTGACGGCTTTGCAGCGACTGATAGGTGCCCATTGTCAGGGCACAGCCGATTAGGACGCACTCCAGCGTCGCATGGAGGCGCACATTGATCAGTGTGGACGGCGGTACCACTGTCGGCAGCTGGGCCAGCAGCCTGCGCTCCCGATTCCGCAGCAGAAGCGCCTGCAGCACCATCAGCATATGGGCCAGCAGATAGGCCACGCTCATGGCATCGATGATCTTTGCATAGGCATTGAACTGCTGCCGCCGCGGCTGCTGGAAGTTGTTCATCTGCCAGCCGTTGCCGAAGTAATGCCAAAACTGTATCACCATATCGCCCAGGTTCAGCGCCAGGTAGCCGCTCAGCAGCCGCTGGACCGCCCGCTTCTGTGAGCTGCACGTCAGCGCCAGCAGCCGAAAGTAGGCGGCCAGGAAGTGCTCCGTGCGGCTGGCCATGATTCACCTAACTGAACTTTGTCGGAGCAGTGTTAGCACCTGCTTATAAATAAATACATATAGATATATATCTATAAATATGCTATATCTGGCTAATTAATCGTAGTGGCTTCAGATTGCGCTTGCCGATTGAGTCGATGGAGTGCATTCCCCCTCGACTTTCTGATATCTTATAGCAATACCCAATGAAAATAATATCCTCAAAATGTTTTCAAGTACCAAACACATTAATACTTTTATATATTATACATTGCTTTTTTTTAATTTGTTCACTTTTCCACTTATTTTTCTACCGTGGATATATCTCAATAATTTAAAAAGATTTCTTCCAAATGTTGCAATTGAAAGTTTTCATCAATTTTCCGCCAGTTGCAGTAAAGAAACACGTTGCATTTAGATTTTCAAAGAAAACTTTGAATTTTACCAACGGGGTGAATTAAAATATTGTATACAAACTTTTTCCACCTATTTTCCACACTTGCGAGTGGATTTAGTATGGACTTTCAACAGTGAGTTGATCATCAATCAGTCAATCAGTCTGTCAGTCAGGAGAAACAGCTTTAAATATAGAGATAGATTCTAAGTAGATTTTATAATCTTTTGGTATTTATAATTTTCATATAAGTATCAATAATGTGCCATATTTAAATGCCTGCTCTTTTCAATCTATTTATATATTATTTTGCAGTGCTAACGGTGCTCAGTATCACCATCAAGTACAACGAATATGCGACAGATAAAGGCGGAAATGTTAGCATACCCTGCATAGCACAAGGCAATATTATGTGGGTTATGGAACACGGCAGCAATAGCACAATAATACAGGTAAGGTAATTTAAACATTAATGTTTTATGTGTATGAAGCATTGTATTCAATGGTGCATAGGTTTAGTTAGGATTTGTTGGGTTATGTTGGGTTATGTTATGTTATGTTATCTTAGGTTATGCTGGGTTATGTTATGTTATGTTATGTTGGGTTATGTTGGGTTATGTTGGGTTATGTTGGGCTAGGTAAGGTTACGTTGGGCTGTGTTAGGTTATGTTGGGTTTTGTTAGGTTATGTTATTTTAGGTCATATTTTGCTATGTTATGTTATGTTATGTTGGGTTATGTTAGGTTATGTTAGGCTAGGCAATGTTATGTTAGGTTAGGTTAGGGTAGGTTAGGTTAGGTTAGGTTAGGTCAGGTCAAATTACCGCGAGTTGCATTTAGACCAAAGCCTTGCACAGGATCCGACTATTGCTGGGCGGATGAATATATATTTAGCCGAAACCCAGTTTATTTTCGGGTTCATTTTATAAATAATACATAATTAATATGAGATGAAAAGTGTATTTGCTATGGTCTTCCATATTCTGTTCGCATAATTTAAGGAGAGTAAATGGCTTTTGTTTAATTTCCGTCTTGCTGTCCATCCGTCTGTTATGGCTTGAAGTTAGGGCCTTGAAACTTGGAATGCAAACGAGTATGTGAATCTATTACCTTCACAATTTAAGAGGCATCGTCAGGCTACTGGTGACTAGGTCTCTTCGCACAGTATTTCTGTTTTTTGCTTTATAGAACAATTAAGATTTGGTAATTGGTTTTGATGAGCACCTTCATTTCGTAGACGGGTCGTATATTGGTGTTGCGTAATGTGAGTACCTCGGATGGCGGCATCTATGTTTGCTTTGCGACGCTGCCAGTGACAACAACAAGAGCAACATCCACAGCAGGAGCAGCAATCCCAGCAACAGCAGCAACTACCTCATCGCAGCAGCAGCAGCAGCAAACCCTGGCAGTGGAACAGGGGGAGGAGCAAGAGCCGAATGCAGAGGAGGTGGAGGTGGTGGAGCAGGCGTATCAGGCTTATCAACGTATCAAGCTGACGGTGCGCACCACACCTGGCCCGGTGTCGCAGCTTTATTTCAAGGCCTCCACCATACTGGGCTTTCTGATTTGGCGCTTCAATAAGACTCAATCCGGTGGCTATCCTGTGCGCAGCTTTACGGCCGAATATCGCAATGTCTCGTACCGCACGCCGCCGGCGAATGCCAGCTACGAGCACGAATGGATTCGCATGGATCCCATCAATATAGCGCCCAATGTGGTGAGTAGGAGGCGCCCATCGCCCATCCCCCAATCTCTGTATAAAAACAAATTGGGGGGACAACAATTTCACAAGAATCATTTCCGCTACATAATCACTTCCGAGGCGCAGCGTCAAATGGAGGTCTATCGCCTGGCGCCCAACACCACATACGAGTTTCGTATATGGGCCAACAATGAGCTGGGCAGCGGTGAGGTGGTCACCACCAATGTGACAACATTGCCAGAGACCAAGGAGGAGGGTAAGCAGACAATTACAAATCATGCCAGTTTCAATTCCCAATTCCCAATTGGGCTACGACTAGTGTTAAATCTGATTATCATAGTTATAGCTAGGTAAAACATTCGATAGTTTTCTTGCTGTCGTATCTAATCCACATCTATTGTACCATCTGTGTGTAGAAATTGATATTTACATATACATATATATTTTTGGTGTCAACTGTACGCTGAACGCAGGGTTGCCATCACATGCACAGTGAGAGGCATATCCTGCATGGCGTGACGTTAGTTTTGTGTAACTTAAATTGTCGTATTATTCCAGATAGAACTATATTATTTCTTATTGGTTACGTATCCATGTATCTGGTAATTTTGTTGTCATCTCTCTTTTTCTTATCTATCTACAAAATGCTCGACGACCGTCCAGATCTCATACGCCTTATAAAACCCGACTTAGATAATTTCGATCCACGCATTTGGATAGTCGCCGTCAGTATAGTGCTGGGAACACTTGTGATATTAGCCATTGGACTCTGTATTGTGCTCTCTAAGGAGTGCTATCAATCAACGCAAATGGGTACAGAAAATTCACCGACAACAATAACAATAACGTATTCCAAATCATAATTACGAACAGCAAACAATTAAACACATTTATTGTTCACATACTTTGTACATACATACAAACATACACGCGTACATACTTATTTGAAGGAATTATGATTTGGATATTATATAATGTTCTTGTTATTGTTGCTAGTAATTTAGCCAAGAAACGAAATGCAACTGCAACTGCAACTGCAACTGCAACAGCAATTGCTGATTCGAATGCAACTTGTTGCAACGCACATGATGCTTGCCATTGTCATTGCCAGTGTTGTAAATGTTCGAGATTAACAAATATCGAATGCTTTTTAATGGGCCCCATACACTGTACAGCACAGTCCAGTTAAATATGTATAAATATGAAATGCATCAAATTGTATAAAATAAATCAGTAAAAATGTTATATGCATATAGCGCGTGGGGTCCATTTTGGGATTTTTTTCGTTAATGCATATTTGTTTCGTTTGCCCGCTGTTTTTTTAATTTTATTTATTTTTTAAAAATATATGCATATTGTTATTGTCGTTGTTGGTGTTTAAATGTAGATTATGTGTTCGCCTTTTTAGTGTGTGGTTCGTTTGATGCTTATTCAAAAAAGAATATATACATATACCAGAAAAAAAAAACACTGCTGAAGAAAAGCCATGCGAAGTGACATATAAACTTGGCAGCTACTTATAATAAATATCATTAAAAGCAAAGCACTTTTGACCACTTAACAAAATGTTTGTCGATTCGCAGAACATGTATGTACATAAAAGCCGAATGGACCTGATTGAGAATCAAAGATTTTTATTTGCTTACTCATAAACATATATTATAGGTTAGCTGAATACACACACATATATTTTAAGTATATAATTTAGGGTATTTAGCGAACTATAATAACATTTGAATATGTTTTTATTTATGCGCAGCTTTTGAGTTAAACTTAGCTTCATGTCTAATTCACATCATTTTAGCTGCCAGCGCAGAACAATTCTCTAAGCTAGATGTTAAATATTTGACAGGCAGATGTTATAATCGCATTGCAATAGAGAAACTAAATGTTATTTTTAAAACGTTTTAGCATTCAGTTGACAAGAGGTTAAAAATCAAATATTAAATTGAACTCTTTTAACAGCTAACATATGTAGCTTCGATAGAAGAATGAACAAATTTTTGCTTTCTGAAATAAAAAACTTTTCCAGCGAATTGTTTTTAGATTCGTGCTTTGTTATTAGATGATCTCCAACATATGTATACTCGATAAAGAATATGATATATATATATACACTTCCAAAAACTGTTTTCCAATATGGATTAAGATAATTCTAATGCCGTCTCTTCGCAAGAACCTCAAATATTAAAGCGACCAAACTTTTAGGCACAACTGTGATAGCTTATACACACTCTCAATGCGCACTCAATAACTCTAAGTAGGACTCTAGTATTATGCACTGAACGACTTTTAGCATAGGATTTGAAAGCAAGTGCAAAAAAGTCAAAAAGAAAATATACGATTATAATAAATATAAAAGCTTTAAATCGTGACCAAAAGTAAACGAGCAAATGAAATGAAAAAGAAATACAAATTATTACCTATATTGCAATATAGGAAACTGGGGTGTGATAAGATCGGTGACATTATATGATTTATGCTTTCCTGCTTTGTTGTTGTCGTGTTTTGTTGTTGAATTTCAAATGAATTTAAATGTGTAACCAATAATCAAATGTTAGCTAAACATAGCGTTAATCGATGTTGTAAACTGAATGTAATCAATTATATAGTACATATACTATATATATATATATATATATATATGTATATTCATATATATTTACATAAGTAGTAATTTAATTCCATTTTATGTGCTTTTGTTTTGGCACGCAAGTTAAATGTTTCAATCCTTATGAAGAAAGACAAATACATTTATCCGAATATTCTATAGTCTTGTATTGTTTTGAGTTATGTGCTTATTGTTAGATACATATGTTATGTATGTGTTTAAAATTGCACACACACAAACACACACACTGAGATACTCACACACATTTAAGCCTTGATTTGAATATACAAACAAATACACAAATTAAGCATACGCCGCGTTGCTCGCTTGTCAATTGCTGAGCACGCTTTACAGCCACACACACACACACACACACACATAGTTAACAAAAAAATACATTTAAAATATAATCAATACAAAAGGTAATGTAATTGTTATCAAATGATACCTAATGCTGTTTTTTCGTTCTACTCTCTCTCTATTTATCTGAATTCCCTTTCCAAATTTCTATCTCTATCTTTCTATCTATCTATCTATCTGTCTATCCTTTTCCTATTCGCTCTTACTCTGTTTCTTTCTGATCTGATATTTATCCCAACTCTATGTCATGCTATGCGGCCTGTGTAGATCTCCAAGATGGTTGGGACAGCATTGAGCTTATACCGAATATAATACTTAATCCCGGTTTCAGTGAATCCGATGAAACCAAGAACATGCAGCCGTTTACGCGCCACATTCTTTTTGGCCACACGGGACAGCAATATACCCATAATGTTGTTAATGATGATGACGACGATGATGATTACGACGAGGAGGAGGAGGAGGAGGATCTCGAGCCGACAATGGAAAAGTTCAAGCGCAAAGTTTCGGTATTCTTTACAGGTCCCACCATCAAACGTATTTGAAAGTACAAAGTGCAATTTTATGGCTACGCCTATACAGATCTATTTAGGTTGTTGAATTGTGGCTACGGTTTAACCAAATATACATACATACATACGTTTGTACAATACTCTGTAGAGCTTATTATGTTTGTGCAAAAATAGGCAAATCATTTCCTTCGGTTTCATTTGCCATTCGACACGAATATACCAATTTTTGATAAACTAAACGCTATTCGCTTCAAGGACGCTTCGAGACAAACGCATTCAAAACTATTTACTATCTATGTAATTGTTATTAACAATTTCTTTTGTGAACTGTCAAGGCGTTCTGCTAAAATGTGAGCTTCATCAAGTGCTGAGATCTTAACAATTATTGCTCTGTTCCAATTTTTCCAGATTCTTTCGAGATAACTGAACAGACTAGCGCTCACTTTGTAGCTTATCGTGATTAAGAGAAATACAACTAAATATGTTAACAATTTGAATTTTTCGAAAAATTAGTTTAAAGAAATGTTCAACATTTTGTGCTCATATTTTGGTTAGACACACACACACACACAAACACACACAGACACGCACACACACATTTCTTCTAATCATGTGTATTTTACATAATAAAAAATAACAAATATATTGCTGTGATACAAATTCAATTGAAGGACATTATAAAGATTTATTAATAGCAAAATCAAATCGAAATCTCATGCACAAAACAAAAAAAAAAAAAAGAAAGAAAAGAAACCACAAATTCTTGTGTATTTTAGTTAAGTAGCGAATTATTGTTAATTATTGTTAAAACAAAGCATAGTACGTGCATCACATATTTGCTGAAGATAATTATTTTGAATATTTTTTTCAAAATAACCAAAGAGAATTTAGAAAACTTTTAAGAGTTTTGAATAGCTGACAACAAGCTGGCGAACAACTAAATGAATTAATTAAATGCAGTCTCCAGATCCGTTAATATATAACTATGATTTCCTCAAGTCAGATAATCAAAAACCAAAACAAATAAAATAACAACTAAATAAAATCGAATAACTGTGAATGAATTTTATAATTGAGCAAATATTTTGCACTGTAGCGCGCACCAAAAAGATACTTATACATATGTACAGTGTACATTAGTCCCGTATAAATGCTCTGATTGATTGAAACATCTGATTGATTGTTAGAAACAAGTTTTTTAAAACATTTTCAAAATGCCTTGTGCTTTAGTTTGATTTTGGGGCTACAGGAAACTAAAACGTGTGTATAAACATATATTATATGCATACATACATATAAACTGTCTAGTTAAAGTAGCTGAATACAATTTATAAAAAATAACACTGCTTCCACAAAAATGAAAACAAAAAAAACAGCCCAAAAACAATGAAATTGTTATGATATTACTTATAGAGACACGTTCAGTTGAATGCAAACAATATAAACCAAATGAGATTTCAAAACTAGCACACAACTGAGAACTACTCTAATTGATTGTATAAATACTATATATAGTATATATATATATATATATATATATATATATATATAGATAATGTTTATATACGAATATACAATGTTATGTGTATTATGTTAATTAAGAAAGACTGTAGCTAACTATTAAGACATTTGGCCAGATTGCTATGCTTTAAACTATTCTGCGATTATTTTCTATTATATTTAACGATATATTAGCTTAACTGCTCGCCTTTCAGCTAAACTAAAAACTAAATGAGCAAAAAAAAAAGAAAAAAGAAACAAAAGAATACGCTATTGAATCGATGCTATTTCCTAATGCACACACTTAACTAACTCATTTCTTTTTATGAGAAAGGAATACCCTAAATACCTATATAAAAGCACGCTTAAGCCCTCAACTACGCATAAGTAGTTATTGCTTCAAGTTCGTTCAAGAATCGTTCTGAATACGCTAAATTTCCACCCAGTCCGCCGGAAGAAGTCACTGCTCTTTAATCTTTAATCATAACAACAAATCTGTGGATATAGTACGTAATAATGTACATATAGCCGCACTCAGATTTTACAATTCAAATAACTTCAAAGCTCGAATGCTTTTTGTAAATGAACCTTGAATTATTTATAAAAACAACAACGATTTCCATAAAAAGCAATTGAAAACACAAACAAGAAACACTCACAAGCAGACACACCCACTCACACACACACACACACACACATACGCAAAAAAGTAAAGAAATAAAATTAAGTTTACATGAAGTAAACCAATGCTAAATGCGTATTTATTTAATGGCTGGCAAAAACGCAACAAACGTTTTTGATGGTTCGGTTCACGGTTCAAATCAATGCCTCATCTTAGTGCTCGGTTTGTGAACTTGGTTGTCCACAGCTGTAAAGCTAGGTTTCGGTTCGAACCAGGACTGCGCGCCCAAAAGAGTAAGTGGTTCGGTTCACGGCTCAAATAAATGCCTCATCATTCGTTTTCGGTTTGTGAATCCGGTTTTACACATCTATCAGCATAGGTTTGGGTTCGAGCCAGGGCTACAAACCCAAAAATAGTTGCTGATTCCGTTCACGGTTCAAATCAATGCCTCAGTTTGGTGCTCAATTTGTGAACTTGGTTTTCCACAGCTGTAAAGCCAGGTATCGGTTTGAACCAGGGCTACAAACCCAAAAATAGTTGCTGTAATTCCGTTCACGGTTCAAATCAATGCCACATTTTAGTGTTCGGTTCGTGAATCCGGTTTTACACATATATCAGCCTAGGTTTGGGTTCGAGCTAGGTTATTATTACAAAACAAGTCAATTTTTTTTATAAATTTGCCCGTTCTACTGAAAATATTGCAAGCAATAAATATTTTCATATTGATTTTGTGGGTTAGATTTGATCCTCATCCAAAACTGGCATCTAGCCAATATGGTTGAGGCCAAAGTCATTTATACTTTGGGGCTGTGTTTTTATTTTCAAGCAAACCATTTTTGAAAAAGATATGATTCAGTTCGAGTTTAAGTTGAGCTGTTTTTTAAGCAATATGATTGAAAAAATAAATTTGAATTCTGGACTCTAATTGGTTCGGCTTAAAGCCGCTTTGTCGCTTGGTTCGAATCTTGTCATGCCTGTTTTTAAATTTGAATATAATTGCAATTTATTAGTAATTTAGTTAATTATATTTAAATATTTTGAATTCCCTATTCAATTAAGGTTTAAGTTTGGTTCATTGTTATAAAAAATTGGTGATTGGGAATCGAATCGGTTCGGCTTGGACGCAATTTGAAGGGCTATTTTATATACAACCCCTTTGTGCCTGTCTTATTTTTTGTATTCCCAAAAAAAGAGAACAAAATTGATTGATTGTTTGTTCAACTTTATTTTAATAGCTTTTAAATAATTTATACTCTGGGAGGTCATCATTCTCATTTATGCGGGACAAAATGCATACATATACATACATATTGACAACCATTGGCTATGGCCGAACGGATTGTCTGTGTCTCAGTGTGGATTAGTCATAATATGTAAAAAGCTTAGCTTAAACTTAATGCACAAAATGAGTGAAGCGCCTAAAGCTCTACACTCGCAAAGTAGTTAGTCGGATCCGTAGCTAAACTTAACTTAAACCGTACACACGTACATACATTTTATTTATATGGATTGGGAATGCATTTCCAAATGAAATTTAAAACAAAACAAAATTCATATGCCTCTTGAAAGCAATGCGTTTAGGTAAATACATACATGTATATGTATGTGTATGTGTGTGTTCTTATTCTGTTTCAAATATATTTATGTATATATATTTTTTAAAAGAATTTGTTTAGTTTTAGCTGGTTTTTGGTGTCAACATCTCAATTATAGGGTCTGTGTCTGTGTACGCCTACTCGCCCACTACTAAACACTAATACATTTCATCATACTTGTAAAATATTCTAGTCACATGTGCCTTTAGCCCTTAGTTACATACATATGGTTGTGGGCCTATTGTCTGTCTCACATTGACATTTCGGGCATTTTGTTGTGCTTCAAATTGATTTGCACACTTTGGGAAAACATCTTAATGATGCCATAGTTATCGTTCGCGTAAACCTTCAAAAAACTAGGCACATTCTTATGCAAAAGCTCGTGACAAAATTGCGGATACTTCCGAAACGCCGGCTGTTTATCATCCCAAATTGACAAGATGTCGCAGTCGTCCCTGCAAGTGTTTAATATATATATACATATACATGAAGCATTAGATAAAACATTCAGACAATAATCAATGGTATCACTCTTACCGCACTTCGTTGCTGCACTCGTCTAAAGATATGATTAAATATTGGATTTTCAATTGTGTGCACTGATTGTATATATCGGACGATTGCTGGCGACTGTACACCGAGTAGACATGCTCTGTGCGCTCACTGTAAAGTGGTTTGTGTTTATTTTTATTGCGATTAGGTTTTATTGATAAGTGCTTGAGACTTACGCCATTTGCCGCATTTCGAGGTGCGCATGATTAACTATCGGCCGCCTGGTTGTTAGGTGAACGGTGCCAATGATCTCAACGGGACCGGCAAACACCGCATCGCGTTCTGTATTTAATTTAATCCACTCCAGCATGCTTTCCAGATCATCCGATGATTGAGTATAGCGTGTGGGAAAGTACTCCTCGCGTATGTTCTGCAAATATAATGATATATATTTATGTAAACAAATCGCTAATTAATTCTATACTGACCACCATGCCGGGATCAAACATGCTGAGCAAAAAGACGGCTAGCGAAACGGACCAAAAGATGTTGCGTTGACGATGGTACCAGATCTTCGAACAGACCGTCGGCGCTATCACACAGCCCTGCGTGAAGCTAAGAAAGAAGAGCTTACGCACGGTCAGACCAATTAGGGTGAAGACGATCATCTGCATGAAGCTGTACATATAATGCAGATTCAGTATCTGAGCGTTCGCCGTGGGTAAAACAGAGTCGCGACGCGCCGATGTTGCTGGACGGCGTCTGCCGTTGGCTGGCTCCTTGTCGGTAGGCGTTTTGCACGGCTGTGTTTCGTCAGTTTCGGTTTCATCTTGAGTTTCCTTTGCAGTTGCCGTTTGTGTTTGCGTTTCGGTGTCTGCTTCTGTCGTACATTCACTGTCGATTGAAGACATCTCTTTAAGATTGGATTCGCTGGCCTGTTCGCGCTCCTTGCGCTGTTTGTCACTATTGCGATGTATCTGCGCCTTTAGGCGCTTAATGTCCTGCATAAAGTCATCGCGCTCCGGCGGCTGCTCCTGCTGCATTTTGGCTTTTTCGCGCTTGTAGCGCTCGTAGTCGTGATCACAGCTCTCGAGCATGGCAAAGCATTGTTGCAGCTGCTGCTCGGTTTGTTTGTTCGACATATCGCTCATAGACACATGGTGCTCTTCCAGAAAATCCTCAAGCACATAGTTGCGGGCGCGTTCGCGCTGCTCCTGGTTGGCCTTTGTGATAATATTGCTTTTGCGCCATTTACGAAAGAACGTGGCCAGCATTACAACTCCGTACATGCAGTACGGCTTGACAATCAACGTCTTGACCAGCTGCCACAGCTCCGACCAGGCGACACGCGCATATAGCGGATTGCAGGCAGAAAGATTGGTCACAAAGTTCACCTTGGCCTGCAGCATCCAGTGCGCCCACAGATCACAATAGTGCATATACGTATTGTCCTGCCAGTTAAGCAGACCCGACTTGCTTAGCATATCCACCAGTTTACCCTGCATGCTGCTGGCGAACAGCAGCGCCAGCAATATTAACTTAAATGAGAAATAGTCGCCTTGCAGCACATTGTTCGTGCAGCGACGGTTCCGTAACTGCCGGACGATCGTTATTAGGAACAGGCTGAGGGCAACGCTCAGCTGCCAGGTGAAGAGCAGCTGGGTGTTGCCGTGCGAGATCACAAAGGCCAAGCAATTGCCCAGCAAATGTGAGAGCGAGTAGTCTAATGCAAATGCATTCGCCAGACCAACTGGCATCGAGCTGACGTTCCACGAGGTCATCACAATCATAATTTGTGTTGTGAATATAAAGTTGGAGAACTGCCACGAGAGTAGCGCACACGCCGTAAACAGGGACATCACGCAGATCTAAGAGATATAAGATTACATTCAATAATTAAAACTTGTTGCAGCCACAATTATTTACCATAAAGATTCGCGAGGTGTGCTTCTGCCGGTGCAGCACACGGCCAATGCATATGCACAAATAAAACATTTGTAAAAATATAAAGGGAAATGCAAAATTTTCACGCGCCAGCGGCCGTTCGTAGATCTTCGCTGCGAAGCTATGGAACATCAGATATGAGAGGACGCCATAGATGCCACCAAACACATTCTCGCTGAGCAGTGTTCCGTACAAGTAGAGCACCAGCAGCGTGACGCCGCCCATCAGCCAGACGAACTCAAAGTAGAACTGCATTGGCTGCAGGCTCGGATTAAAGCCGGCACGCACAATGTGGAAGAAGTAACTGCAAACAAATAAAATGAGTTTAGAAAAGAGCCACTAGATCTGTGCATGGACATGGGAATCCCCCAACGATCTTAAACAAAAAATTAAAGTCGAGTGACCTTCGCTGACCCTTCCAAGGCAATTGTCAGCGCATAGCTAAAAGCTCTGAAGGGGGTATAAAAGAAGCTACGGATCGAAGTGTGTGCATTCCCCTAATTATATTAAATGACCATATACAATTTTTCCCCCTCCATGAGCTTTTTTAAGCATTGGAATGAATGTTTACCGATCCCTTGTTTATTGCTTTACCAAGCAACGCATTGCACGAAATTGAGTCAAACTGTGCTGTAATTTTTCTCATATTGATAGTTGACAGCTGTCAGAATCGTAAACAAAAATCATTAGAGTATAATTTCGTTGATGGGAAAGAGTAGCAGATGTTAGTCATGTAGGAATTTTTGTAGAAATGTGAGTGCAAAAAACAAGATTTTTTTTCTAATATAACTAGTGGGTGAGGCTGCAACGAGCCGAGAACCGAGCTAACCAAAACAAAGCGCCTTGCTCCAGATTCAAATTAAACGTGACGAGACAATGATTCATATAAATGTGTGGGGCATGCACATGCCCATTAAGATATAATACAGTTGGCAAATTGGATTACTTACGCGGTAACCAGCTCGGGCAGCACATAGAAACGTTGGAGTACATTGACGCTGTGCGGATATTCAATGTCTGTTACGTTCTTTAGCTGCTCGTAGCCGTGCCAGAAGTCTGGGCCATCGGCTAGCTTCTTGTAGAATGTGTAATAGAGGGCATCTTCGCGTCGCAGCATCGATTCGCGCTCCAGTTGGTTGAGATGCCGAATGTTGGTGCGCGTCTCAAAGATGACGCGCACATGGTGCATGTACAGAAAAAAGAAACCCGAGCCTAAATGGCCGCGTATTATCCGCTGAGGCGGCCGGCGATTTTCAACAATGCTACTTACCAATTAGCGCGTGCGATAAAATTACGTACAAATTGGGCTCGCGCATATTTCTGGCGTATGTGTTGCGTGTATCTAGTTAGTGGGCTCGTCTATTCATTATTTACTTTTGCGGCGTCTGTTTGATCAAATTAGCAGTGCCTCCTATGATATGCCTGCAGCTTTTACCCGTAAACAAAATTATTTGCCACAGCTGATTTCTTCGTTGCCATGTACATTAATCAGCTGTTTCGCAATTTTCAAAACCAGGTGACTCTTTTAAATTGCACCAGCTGTGTGTATCGATGTGCAAGCATACCCATTACGCCACATGCTGGTATATTTATATCGAATATATGCGGTTTTAGTATATTTATAATCTTAAATAAGAATTAGTTATGTGCTATGTATTCGTTCACCAAGCACTGTTCAAAATGTGCGCCATACTGATGTTAATTTTGTTTTGCTAGTTTAGTTTTTTATTTTTTTGTAAATAAGTTGCCATGTTGATGCTCCGAGTGTATCGATACAATCGGTATCGTTCGGACAAGATATCGATATGTGGAGTGTGTTTGGTATTTTGTGTTTAGTTTTTTGTTTTTAAATTGCAGTCACACTGCGGCTTATTGAATTTAAGGCATTGCAAGGGCCATTTTATTGTAGAAAGTTCAGTTTTATTTGCGGTGATGATGGACCGCTACGCGGTTAGCTCTCTGGTGGGCCAAGGCTCATTTGGCTGTGTGTACAAGGCTCAGCGGCGTGATGATGACAAAGTGGTGGCCATCAAAGTCATATCAAAGGTGAGCTCAATTACATCCTGGCTTAGCTAAATAAAAGAGCATTCTTCGAATTGGCGTTTTAATTGCAGCGCGGTCGTTCCAATCGCGAGCTTAAGAATCTGCGTCGCGAATGTGACATTCAGGCGCGTCTCAAGCATCCGCATGTTATAGAAATGGTGGAGTCCTTCGAATCCAAATTCGATTTGTTCGTGGTCACAGAGTTCGCTCTAATGGATTTGCATCGATATTTGTCCTTCAATGGCGCCATGCCCGAGGAGCATGCACAGCGTGTTGTCTGTCACTTGGTGTCGGCGCTTTATTACCTGCATTCGAATCGCATACTGCATCGGGATCTAAAGCCTCAGAATGTGCTGCTGGACAAAAACATGCACGCCAAGCTCTGCGACTTTGGGCTGGCACGCAACATGACGATGGGCACACATGTGTTGACTTCCATAAAGGGCACACCGCTCTATATGGCGCCGGAGCTTCTGGCTGAGCAGCCGTACGATCATCAGGCGGATATGTGGTCGCTGGGATGCATTGCCTATGAGAGTATGGCGGCACAGCCGCCGTTCTGCGCAACCTCCATACTGCATCTGGTCAAGCTGATCAAGCACGAGGACGTCAAATGGCCCAGCACGCTGAGCAGCGAGTGCCGTTCCTTTCTGCAGGGCTTGCTCGAAAAGGATCCTAGCATGCGCATCTCATGGACGCAGCTGCTTTGCCATCCTTTTGTCGAGGGCAAGCTTTACATAGCCGAGGTACAGGCAGCACAAAGTTCGCCCTTTATAAATCCCCAGCTGGCAAAGGAAACCAAAAAATCGCAGCAATCGTGGTGCGTTTACAAAGTGTACTTTCTCCAATTCTACTTATCGTTAAATTTTTTTTATAGGCATGTTGGCGCAGATTTGGGCGATGTCCTGGCAGCGTTAAAGCTGAGCGACGTGGCCAATGAAAACCTGAGCACATCGCGGGATAGCATCAATGCCATTGCGCCGAGTGACATTGAGCAGCTGGAAACCGATGTTGAGGATAATGTGCATCGGCTAATAGTGCCATTTGCGGATATTTCCTACAGAGAGTTGCCTAGCGGCACTGCAGCTGCTGCTGCTGGTGCTATGCCATTGATTAATTCGCAAACCTGCTTTGTTAGTGGCAACTCCAACATGATACTCAATCATCTGAACGACAATTTTGCAATCGAAGCGCCTGCTTCGAGCGCAACCAAGTCCATGAAGTCGAAGCTGAAGCTGGCTCTCAATATAAAACAGTCGCGTAGCAAGGATTTGGAGAAGCGCAAGCTTAGTCAAAATTTGGATAACTTTTCGCTGCGCCTGGGACAGAGCATTGACATAGAAGTGCAGCGCAAAACAACTGAGATGCTCACGCAGCAGTCGCAGGCACAACAGCTGCAAGATAGGAAGACACAGCAGCTGAAGCAATCGATGCATTCCACCAACGATGAGAAATTGAGCAGCGAGTGAGTAACTGCTTCCATATTTAAAAGTCAACGTCTGTAAAGCTTTTTGGTTTCTAATAGCAATTCGCCGCCTTGTCTGTTGCCCGGTTGGGACAGCTGCGATGAATCTCAGAGCCCGCCCATTGAGAATGACGAGTGGCTGGCGTTCTTGCATCGCTCCATACAGGAGCTGCTGGACGGTGAATTTGATTCGCTGAAGCAGCATAATTTAGTCAGCATCATTGTGGCGCCACTACGAAACTCCAAGGCCATACCCAAGGTGCTGCAGAGCGTTGCGCAGCTGCTGTCGCTGCCCTTTGTGCTGGCCGATCAGCATTTGGTGGCGGAGGCCATAAAAGGAGTTTATATTGATGTCAAGCTGGTGCCAAATTTAATGTACGCCTGCAAGCTGCTTCTCTCGCAGCGCCAGCTAACCGACTCGGCTGCTTCACTGCCAGCCGGCACGGGCGTCTCCCTGAGTCGAACGCTGCGCAGCGTCTCGGACCTGAGTGCCGAGGAGATGAGCACCGCCTGCAGCCTGTACGAGCTGGTCTGCCATCTGGTCCATCAGCAGCAGCAGTTCCTCACCCAATTCTGTGACGCTGTCGCAATACTCGCCGTCAACGACATGTTCATCAATTTTCTTACACATGGTGAGCAGCCGGCAGGTCACAGTGTGAGACGCAAGCTTAACTATTCCTTGCTTTGCAGATTTTAAGGACAGTAGCGCGGTGCGACTTGCTAGCTGCATGCTGGCATTGTTCTGTTGTGTTTTGCGTGAACTACCCGAGAACGCCGAGCTGGTGGAGAAGATTGTGTTTGACTCGCGCCTACAGCTGGCCGTCCTGCTGCAGAGCCGTCACCAGTTGTTGCGTCAGCGCGCCTGTCAGATGCTGTTGCTATTGGCACGCTTTAGCCTGCGCGGCGTACAGTGCATTTGGAGTGGGGAGCTGAAGAGTGCGCTCCAGGCGCTGGCCGAGCAGCAGACCTGTCAATCACTGCGACTGGAAGCCGCCCAAACGCTGGATGAGCTTAGCCAGTTCAGCTTCTTTGTTGCCCAGGCAACTGCTTAGTCTTTATTAATAATTGTACTTGTATTTGTTTAATAAATCTTAATCCTCGTCTAGCCAAACAGACCTTCCAAATTGCCTTGAAAGTAGTCGAGCAGCTCGTCCAGATAGCTGCTAAAGCCATCAAAGCCCAAAAGGTAGCTACCATTACAGTCCTGCTCGTACATCTCGTTGAGCTTCGAAATATCCTTGTCGGACAGGCCGCGCCGTTGGCCCAGTGAGGCATACGGATCCTAGTTATAATAACATGCATTGTTATTATTTAATCAAAAATTTGACGAGGTGTTATTTGTTTAATACTTAAAAAATATTATATTGTATGTATGTATCTATTTATATATATCTACATATGTATGAATGTTTTCTTATGCCTAATGAATGAATGAAATTTATTTACCTATGTATGTATGTATGTTGTGTGTGTGTATGCAAACATGTGTGAGTGTATGTATGCATGTGTGTATGTACAGACAAGTGTACATATGTGCATATATATGTATATAAATGTATGAATGTATATTCATTTATAACAAACGCAGACAAAGTTTACTTCCCGCTGCGTTGCCAATTTAAAAACAACGTATATTCAATGATGCTCTACTACTCGATTCTCATAATTTCAAGTAGGCCACGCAGATTTTCACGCGTTGATCTAAAGTTCTTTTTTTTTAATTAATTATTCTTAAATGTTTGTGGTTGTGTATGTGATGTATGTAAGTATAAATGTAAGTATGTATGTATGTATGTATGTATGTATGTATGTATGTATGTATGTATGAATGTATGTATGTATGTATGTATGTATGTATGTATGTATGTATGTATGTACGTATGTATGTATCTATGTATGTATGTATGTATAAATGTATGTATGTATTTACGTTTGTATGTATCTATGTATGTATGTATGTATAAATGTATGTATGTATGTAGGTATGTATGTATGCGTGCATGTATGTGTGTGTGTTTGTATTTATGTATGTATGTGTGTTTGTATTAATGTATGTATGTATGTTCGTTTATAGTTATCAGACCAATAAAATCAAATGGCGCTCTACTGGTCGACTCTCAAAAATTCAAGTTAGTCCCAGAGGTTTTCATGATTTTATTGCTTTTTTTTTGTAAAGTTGTGTTTTCTTTCTGCTCGCTCTCTTATATACTCTTATTTAATATCTACTCTCTCTGTCTCTTTTTTCTCTCTCTTTCCCTCTTTCTCTGCTCTATTTTTATTTTTTGTACTAATCCAATCTCTACTTCTTGTTATTACAGTGATGTGCATATAAACAAATTGGACTTCCTCCCACCATTAAATGACTATAAAAATCGCTTCTGCGTATATGGCTTTGGGTGAGTACGTATCTACATAAATATTTTAAATAAGAATATATGCTAAGGCAGTTTAGGTCTGAGCACATCTTATCATTATATATGTGTATAAGGGCCCCTACGAAGTGAAGTAAAATAAATCTCCAAAAACTCAATCATTTTAGCAAGCTTGCGATAAATCTGGCAAGCAGCTATACAATCATTGGGAATGTGTCAGTACTATTTGTGAAGCATATAAAAAAAAAGTGGAAAAGTTAAATTTAAACTATAGTTTATTTTTTGCTTAATACTATACTGAAAAGGAGTTATAATGGATGGAAGAATTGATGCGATTGGAACTGAATTTCGCTTATAAGTAGTTATTTTTGCTTACCAGTGGCTCAATGGTGGCCTTTCCATTCTTGCTGAATGCCAGGGAGCTGTAGTGCATAACGCTCTGGTAGTCGTACTCCACACCAAAGTTGGTGATGTGCGTGCGGGCGTACTTGTTGAAGTTGTGCGCATGGCCATCCAATATGTTCTCCCAGTTGATCTTAACATACTCGTCGCGCTCGGTGGCGCTCTGTTGATGGTAGAAGCCCAGCGCGTGCAGCAGCTCATGGACAACAACACCGTGCGTGACACATTTGGGCGTATTGAGATTGAGTATTTGGCCGCCCTGGCGTCGGCCGACGCTCGACCAGCAGCCGGAATAGTTGCCCTTGATCATCAGCCAGTGCTTGTCGCCCTTCTCATATGGCCGGAAGCGTATGCAGCTGCGTTCGTGATATTCCTTGAATGCCTTCAATATAACCATCGTCTGGTTGGCCGCTGTGCCAGTTCGCTGTCAATCATCAATTATCGCATTTATGTGCACTATATCTGGCTACTCACTGAAGTCCTCCGGATCTATATAGAACGGCACGGCGGCATCTGGCCATGTCTGACGTTCATTCAGCAGCCCATTGCGCAGCAGTTCACGATGCAGCATGATGTCACCCTCAAAGAGGCCGCAGTGCTCCCAAATGTTGCTCTCGCTGTTCTCCGTCCAAAAGTCGAATGCGGCACCTGTAAGCAGAATATCCAACTAGTCGTCTTCCAAGTCTTCCACCATGGCTACTACATACTGTTGTGCCGGCGCAGCATTTGCATGTTGGCCCCCCAGCGTGGCGCGGGCGGCACCGCCGTCTGAAAGCGTCCCATGCCCGCTGCTGTCCATGGCCCCTGAGCCATGCCCAGGGCCACTGTCAGCCAGTGTATGATAAGCGCGCTTCTCGGCATTGTCTTGGAAAAAGAAACAGCTACCCGAGCGCCTCGATGCTTTTATATTTGGCCACAGCTGCGACGCGACGTAAACGTCGATGGAGTCGTAGAAGGAGACGCAGACGGAGACGGAGGCAGTGGCTGGGGTGGCGACAAAGCGACAATTGAAAGTAATTGAGCACTCGCAATTGGTCGCACAATCGCCCACGCAGCTCGATTTATGCATAACGGATTTAAGCTACCCTAACTGCGAGCGGGCATCTTAACATTTGCGTTAAGCCTGTCTTTGTTGCTTGAAGTACACAATTCGAAACTTGGGACGGATTATGTGGTTAATTATATTCAATGGTCTCCAAAATACCCTTAGAACTCATGCAGCACATAAATACTCTATATACCCTATACGAGTTTTTAAAAAATTTTTGAAGAAATTACAGGTAACATTTGTTCGGAGCACAGCTAAATCAGATCTCAATTTACGGTTCTATATTTATATCAATTGACTTTTAAGTTTTTCACGAATTCAAGAACTGTCTGTCTAAACAAATTATTTTGTTTTCATATTTATTTGAGCTTGAACCTTAAAGGAAACTTAGCTACTGTGGGTCTCTTGTGTTTATGTCTGAGAGCTGTACAAATATTGTGCTAAGAAAACATACATTACTAATTTAGTTATATTTTAGAACATTTTAGAAAATGAATATGAATAATTTTCTTAGTTTTTGAACATTTTTCCCAAAATATTGTTGATAGTTTCAGAATCTTTCCAGCTAATACCCCAAGATATATATTTTAATCTCATTTTTTCTACATAAAAACAATATATATATTTTAAAAGAAGTGAAGTTTAGAAACTTTTTCATTTTTTGGCGTTTTTGTAAAGTTCTGGTTAAAAAATTATTAAGCTATTTTCTCAGTTTATATTTAAATCTCATTTTTATAATTTAATTTAATCTCATTTTTTCTAAATGGAACATTTTTTTAAAAATAAGTGCAAATTTGAGAAAATTTTCAAAGTTTATATTTTTATCTCATTTTTTTTTAAATAGAAGATTTTTTAAAGCAAGATAATGTGAAATTGAGAAACATTTTCTTTTAATAATAGAATTTTATAGAATTTTTCTTTTCCCATTTGGGCGTATAAATTTATGATCATAGAAGAGAACAGCTTAATTACAACAAAATAACATTATACGTAGAAATGTGTTTCATAACATCAAACTCTTTAGCTCAGGTATTTTTTTTAAATGAAATTTCATAATTACGTTACTAGAAAGTAGAGTATTCGAGTTGGGAAGTAAGGGACTTCTTTTTTGTTATTTTTGTGTTTTTGTCTTTGTTTCTGGTTGTAATTGGCTTTGTGCTCTCTCTTTCAGTGCTCGCTGCGTATTTAAATTCCCTTGTCTTTTACGGCTTTTGATTTCATATTTAACTGGGATATTGGGTTATCAGCGGCAACAGTGTGCGCATATGAAAATAGCGCAGTCACCAGAGCGCCGTTTGGTTGTGACTCTCTGAATTAGAGATGGGCGTGTGTCGTGACACGACACGCAATTCGCATGCCATACAGAAAAAATGCATAGATAAATAATACATGCCACCTACTTTGTCTCTATAAAAAACGTGTCATGAAATGATGTGTGTGCTTTCAATTTACGACTCGTGCTCGTGCTCGTGCCGTGACATTTGGCAAGCACGTGCCCATCTCTGGTCTGTCAGAACATGATCGCAGGCATCTCAAAAGTTGTATGTTATTTGGAAAGTTGCATGCAACATTTGCTGTGATGCATTCGAGTGCATGCATGCATATGTCTTGCGACGTTTATGTTATTGAATTCACGATTTATTCACTGCATTTCGTGATTTTCAAAAGTTATGTTGGCTGCGCCTAAGCACATCTGAATATTGTTGCTGAGTTTATGGTACAAGCGGGATAAAGGGGAAAATATGTATCTCCAAAGCTGTAGGCTATCAACTTTCTTAACTTTGACAAAACAAAACTGATTTCCCAGATTAGATTAAACAAGGTCAAGAAAATGTTATAAATATGGGGATAAATACCTTTTCAACCGAACCGAATCTAAGGTTAATCTTTGATCTATGTATGATACAATTTTTACCACAACCTTGAATTGCAAAGCTCTCAAGCACAGATTTCAGGGCATCCTATCGAAAATTTGAGATATATCTTGGGAATATATGCTTTTGACTTCTGACTTGCAGGGTACAATTAGTCGGGCAGCCAGATAGTAAGTTGTTGGGTTAACAATTTGAAATCTTCTCAGATAGTCCCAGTAGCGGTTTTGAATTTAAAGCGCTCACGTCGACAGGTGACGTCGTGAAAGCCTAATCAACAATCGAGCAGCGACAGTGAATGGGCGATCGAAAAGTTCTTTGAACCTGTATCTGTATTTGCCAGATGTCGATTGATGGCCGCGCTGCTGCTGCTGCTGATATTGCTGGTGCAGGTGTCAGTTTGGCCAGTGCT